TAATGTAGACCAGGGCTTCCCAAACTAGGGTCCGCGGCCCTGAAAGAGGAGAGCACCAGTTTTACACAAAGTACTATATCTATTGTACTTTTCCAGACTCTTGATTTGAAATACAATTATTAAGAATAATGTGAAACAAAAATTTCACGATTCCTAATATACACATCATCATACTGTGTAAATAAGACAATGTCTCCAATTTTATTTTGAAAATATTACTAGGGCTTATTTTGGGGGGATGTAGAGAATAACGAGAATTTTTATTATGCCAAATATGAATACCGACTTCCATTACTTATAAATAGCACGTCTTCATTTAAACTGCTACATATAGATTATTAACCATTTGAAAAGTATAGTCGCAGTGTTTTTCAACCGGGGTGCCGCGGCATACCGGTGTGCCGTAGAATGTTGTCAGGACTGCCGTGGGAAAATCTTCAATTTGTGTGTATATGAGGTGTTCTGCCCGGTAGGGTAATCATGCAGTACTGTTCCATATCAAAAGGTGGCAGAAGCAGGTGGCGATTTGCAAGCACGGATGCAGCGGCAGGTTTTGTGACGTCATACAGGTGTCACGTGATACGAGCCCACATTCGACCGACTCATACTCAAGGTCATTCCCGTTCTTCCTGGCTGCGCTTTACATTTGTGATAGAGAAATTTTTGAAAAGAAAAAATGCGGACATTGTACTGGACCCTGTACAAAATCCGGGCCCTAGTATGAGTGGAGGTGAAAAGAAAGCAAAGACAAGGCAATACAACGAAAACTATCTTTTATTTGGATTTACTTGTACCGGAGATGCAACGGCACCGACTCCATTGTGCTTGGTATGTGGTGAAACGCTCTCCAACGGTGCTATGGTTCCAACAAGCTCAAACGACATCTTGAAACTAAACACCCTTTACTTCAAAACAAAAATGTGGATTATTTTGTTCGCCTGCGTGATCAGACAGAGAAACAGGCCACTTTTATGAGAAAAACCGCAAAGGTAAACGCGAGAGCCCTTAAAGCTAGCTGCCACGTAGCTGAACTTGTGGCTAAATCAAAAAAGTCCCACAATGTGTGTGGCAGAGCAATTAGCTAAGCTTTGCTGATCTACCTTTGGACAGTTTCTGGTTGGCAGCTGCCAAGGAGTTCCCCATGCTGGCCCCACAAAGCTATTTTGACATTGCTCCCATTTTCCACAACATATCTGTGTGAGGTGAGCTTTTCAAGCCTGACTGCTATAAAAACTAAAAACAGAGAAAGACTTAGAGCTGTTGATGAAGAGCTTCGTGTGTGCCTTTTATCGATCCCTGCCAAGATATCTTCTCTGTCTTCATCCAAACAGCCCCAGGTTTCACACTGAGTGAGAATAATAACGATTGTGAAATACTTTTTGTCCTTGTTTTTATTTGTTTAATATTGAAAATGTCCAATTAACATCATTCTTCAATATTTATAAAAACTCATATGAACAATATAGCATATTGTGAATATTACGTCTTTTTGCCACATTTTCAGATGTTGGTGTGCCGCGGGATTTTCTCAATCGAAAAAGGGTGCGGTGGCTCGAAAAGGGTTGAAAAACACTGCTATAGACTACTCATATAGTTACTCAATTATTCAGTGTAATGGGTGAGAATACTTTTCGCTGCATAGCAAGTCCAGCCTTGGCTCAATGTTTGTTTATGCAGGCCTAAATGATGAATTACGATGTCTGGCCACCGACGGCATGGTCCTTTTCCGAAATTGTTCACTCTTATTGAATTGATCAAACTTAGCATAAGACAGTGGTTTGTGTGGCGCCAAATTATCATGGAAAAAACTCATGACGCACCTACACGAAAAATATGCTGCCTGATAATCAAACACAATTTTGTCATCGTTAATATGTACTTATCTTATCTCGCTGCCTGTTTTTTAAAGCCGGCATTGTTATGCAAGCACACTCAAACCGAGTCTTACCATGCGAATATGCACTGTTATGCAAGCGCGGTGATTCTACTGTGTTTCCCCGAAAATAAAACCAAGCCTGAATTTTAGAAGTTATTTTGATATAAGCGCTCCCCTTTAAAAAAGACTTAGTCGATAGCGCTAGGACGTCGCAAAATTTCGTGATTCATAAACCTTTCAAACACCCATATCTTCTACTTTTACAGAAAAAAGGAAGTTCATATCGATCTTACCTGTGATGGTGTTACAATAAAAAAGTTTAATTCTAAAAATTCGGTTTTCTGTAGATATTGATTACTTTTCTTGGTTCACTGAGTCCTAGTCGATAGCAAGAAATTTCTACTCAGTAATTTTACACTATACTTTTTAAATGGTTAATTAATAATCTATATGTAGCAGTTATTTTAAATGAAGACGTGCTATTTATAAATAATGGAAATCGGTATTCATATTTTGTATAATAAAAAATCTCGTTATTCTCTACATCCCCCCAAAATAAGCCCTAGTGTTATTTTCGAAATAAAATTGAAGACACTGTCTTATTTACACAGTATGATGATGTGTTCATTAGAAATCGTGAAATTTTTGTTTCACATTATTTTTAATAATTGTATTTCGAATCAAGAGTCTGGAAAAGTACAATAGATATAGTACTTTGTGTAAAACTAGTGCTCTCTTTGCGGCCCCTAAAATTCGTTTCGCGGCCCCTAGTTTGGGAAGCCCTGGGCTAGACAACTTCATTCCCTAAACTAGAGCCTATTATTGCCAAGTTATAGTCCAGATTGTAATAAGTATTTGAAGGCACTAACTGACTAACGCAATGTAAAATTTGCTACGGTACACCACGCCTGTGCTGGGGTCTCGTGCAGCTCCGTACCGTACCTAACGTACCGTAACGTACAGCACAGGGGTCTCATGTAGTTTCGTACCTAACATACTTCTAGTGAGCGTAGCATGACAATTTTTTCACGTATCAATCTTAACCCCCACCTGACTACACCATCTAGAAAAAATTGCGTCATTACGACGTCACAGTGACGTAATAGAGCCCTTCAAACTATACGAACTGCCATTCTAAGACGCGCAAATGAGCACCCGAATCCGAACAGTTATTTTTCTCGTCGCAACGATTCCGATAGGAGAGAGCTCAATAACGTCACTCAGTTCTTTATCGTCGGCGCCAATGCCATTTCGGGAGATCGTACGTATATTTGGCAAGCTCTATGCCGTGATTGTGATGTCGTAGTGATTTAATTTTTGGATGGCGTACCGTAGTCATATGGGGGTTAGGATTGACATATCAAAAAATTGTTATGCTACGCCCACTAGAAGTACGGTATTGGTACTCGTAAAGCAGTACTTACAGTTTCAGAGTTTGGTGTTATTTAATCAGATACCGGTACCGGTACGACATTCATTTTACACTGTCACATCGCATTTTTGTTTAGAGTTACTAAAACAGTTACCGTACATACGGCGTTTACTAAGCAAGACCCTAAGATTGTGCAGTTAATATAATTTTAAAAAGTACGGTAGCCCCACGGCCTGCCGGTACGGTACCGGTACCGTATGCTAGAGTGAGTTTGAATATATTACGGTGTATCATAAATCCAGAAATCAGCAAATGGTACCGTACCTCTCAAATGTATGTATTGCTGTATTGGTACTGTAGTCACAATGCGAGACAAAGTACCAACAAAATCTGGGTCTCATGTAGTTTCGTACCTAACGTACTTCTGGTAAGCGTAGCATAACAATTTTTTTAAGTGTCAATCCTAACCCCCACCCGACCACACCATTCAAAAATTACGTCACTACGACGTCACAGTGACATAATAGAGCCCTTCAAATTATGCGAACTGTCATCCAAGACGCGCAGACGAGAACCCGAAATCGAACAGCCATTTCTCTCGTTTTCTCGACGCAACGATCCCGATAGGAGAGAGATCGCCGACGTTAGACAGTTCTTTATCGTCGGAGCCGATGCCATTTCGGGCGATCGTTCGAGTATTTGGCAAGCTCTATGACGTGATTGTGATGTCGTAGTGACGTAATTTTTGGATGGCGTAGTCAGGTGAGGGTTAGGATTGGCGTGTCAAAATTTTTTCATGCTACGCCTACTAGAAGTACGTTAGGTACAAAACTACACAAGACCCCAAAATCTTTGTTTGTCGATTACCGGTACGTGCCAATTCAGCAATTTGTTTTCTAAGAGACCATGGTTTTCTGAAATATGATTAAGCTGTGTTATTGACTTTTGCCTCATAAATCAGTAAATAGCAAAATATGGAAATCTTTCTTATAATTTGCACATAGGACTTCAAGTATACTTTTTTATATGACTATTATTATGGCTTTTGCTCCGAAGAGGGTGCTGTACATTGTTTATACTAATTATACATACCCCAAAGTACAGAAGTACCAGTAAGTTTAATGAGCTGGTGTTTCGTGGTTCACTCAATGTGATAAAAGATGTGATAAATTGGATAGGTATAGTCTACTATAGATACTACTGTACTATGATCTGTTGAAAAATTGTAATTTCTCATATAATCAGTGCCCTAAAAAGTACAGAAGTATGATGAAGTCTTTTGATTTGTCCCTCAACTATCTGACTATAGTAGGCTGTGTAGCTTCCTCCAACTGCTACTTTTACTAAGTTTTTTTAGGCATTGATAGATATCACTGTATTTACAGAGCATAATGTTTTGATTTGCCCGGCGATGTGATGCATCGAGCAAATCATTCGGAATATTCTCCCCACCGCACCCCTGTTTACCCTTTCGGGTTCACAGATACAAATCTCAGCAGCTATAGTTATGTGCGAGAGGATTGCTGGACTCCCTTGCTGTTGTAGGGTGGTTACGGCAATAAAGTCCATGCTTCTGAAAACCGATAACTTGTTAACTAATCCCATATGGACAAGGGAACATGGTTCGCCATATGATTAAGTTATGTTATCAGCTTCCCTTTTTGCCGACATAAAAATGAAATCCTATTTTATTAAATACTGGGTAACTGTGTATCCTCATTTTTAATTCAATTCACTGCTTTTATGAAATTATTTCAGTGTTAGCTGTCTATATTTAAGCAAATTACTTCTATGGCAAGCTTTAGAATATATATAAACTTCGGATAATAGGAAATACAAACTGATAGTCAGTAAGATTTCTTTTTTACCTGGATTGGATTAAAAGCAAAGGTCACCATCTTGGGTGACCTTGGGACTCTGAACCCTAAGGATATAACGTTGTCTGGGATTTACTAAAAAATGAACCCTTTGCCAGCAGCTGACATATCGAGGAAAAATCCTCAGGATGATTTTGATTTAATTCAAAGAGTTGGAAGTGGGACATATGGGGATGTATACAAGGTATTGTTTTTTTCACAAATAATAAAGTAACTGTTAAACAGGGATTTAGAGTAGGGGTGTGAAACTTTTAATACAGGACAACCAGATACAAATACAGTACGGCACACTATACAAATCGGGTGACATTGTCCCATTTCAGAAAAACCCATTTTACAGATGATCAGACCCCCCTCCTTTGGTAGACGTCTGTACATTGTTGTCCCTCAATATCGGTAATAATAAAGTATAATGAACTTGCGGAAAATACTACAAAAAAGCGCAATCTAGTAACGTCATCATTGAATTCCTTGGGAAAAAATAATTCGATTTACCAAAAGAAAAAATTTTTTATCGAAGCATTCGAGAGTTTTTGGCAAAAAACAGCAATTTTGGTCATGTGACGGCCGCGATTAATTTAGATTATTATTGAGACAAGCATGCCGCGATATGAAGCATCTGACGTGGTCCCAGAGCCCCCTCGTTTGCGAGACACAGAGTGTTTGTTTTATTGAGCCAAATGGAGGGAAATTCTTGGAATTTGGATAGTGTGCTGTACTGAAATACCTGAGTGAAACCACAAGCCGCACCTTTATATAACATATGCTTTCCAGTAGTTTAGAACCAAACTTTTGGTTATTGATTTTGTGACATGCACAAGCTCTGGTATACCCTTGCACTGCAAATGAATTGGAATTACTCGCCCGTTAGTTTAATAAAAACTTTCGTTTCGTGAGCAATATACCATTTAAAATTGGCACATCTTTGCATGTCTCACAATTTTCTTTGTGTGCCGCAGTTTGCACACCTCTGATATAGAGTCCTATAAAATTCACACCTAACTTAGGGTTGATAAAAACTATGATTCCAACTCATCATTTAAGGATAATTTGACTCCAGTTGTGAATTTGAGCAAATCAAATCTCAAAACCTCCTTTATTGACTGTTGATAACATTCAGTCAACATATTAGAACTTTGTGATTGTCTGTCGAAATTTTCACTCGATTCATCACCATAAACAGTCCTAAATTTGAATTTTCGACTTTGGATCCCGTTTCCAGGGAGTTTGAAAATATGATTTCACAGCTCTGCTTACTTTTGATTACCGTAAAATTCGTGTGTGAGATTTGACTTACGGTGTTTGCTTGAAAATATTTTCCTGATTTTCATTCATCGCAAATAGAAATTATTTACCCCAACGTCCCTTGAAGTGAATTTCAAAACATCTTGTATTCAAGAGATTTTCAATGTAAAATTATAGCTTTTAAATTTTTTCAGCAGCTTCATTGTATTTTCAATGAAGCAGAATTTGACATATTGTTTCTTTTGAGAGAGCCTTTTATTTATTTTGTTTCAGACATGAAATCACCCATACTTTGAACAAAAAGTAAAAATGTCTAATATTATTAAAATTGGTTGCTTGAGTGTTAGTTACCTAGAAATCTATGGTCAGGATGGCTTTAATATGGCTAGATTGCATCAGAATGAGAATAGAACATGAGTGCTGATGAATGCTGCTATGTTTCACAATGTTTCTTGTAATCTAATGATGGTGATCTTTCCTGCCTGAGGTCGTATTTGCGTCACGCCACAACACATTCTGAACAAGAATGCAGATACAATCGAAAGTGAAATATATTGTTCAGCTCAATAAACAAAGCCATATAACAAGCAAGCTAATGAGTCAGTCTGCAAGATATTTCCAACTTTGATATATACAAATTTCATAGCAACTATTTTGAAGTCTCCAAATCTTTTTTGAATTCCCTACTTAAAACTCTGTAATAGCATAATAAAGTTATTAGCGATTTCATTTATGAGTAACATCACTGATATTAGGACTATAAAACTCTCTTAATGATAATTCGACAAAAGGCCTTCCGGAAGGTCTTTTGGCCTTCCGGAAGGCCCTTTTAATCAAATAGTTTTGAAACCTGATTTCGTGTAGTTTGATTTTGAATTTTCTTTAGCTTATGGTATTAATTGATTGCCAGTTACTCATGAACACAATCATGGGTTTCAATTTCTATAAAACATTTTAGTTTTTTATCACTGACCTATTTACTTTTAATAAAAATTTCAATTTTTTGAAAAACTTGAAAAAAATCAATTTTTTTAAATCCTCATTTCTCAGATAAAAAAACCTTTGTGATCTAATTTTTTCATGTTTATGAATTTCTTGTATCATGTTGTTGCACTGAAAAACTAAATTTGCTAACAGAAAAAAGCGCAAATACAATTTTTTTTGTAAATTATAAATTTTTCATCAAAAATTTTAAACGATCAGTTTTATAAGAGGGATTATTGTTTAACTATATTCAGTTAGGTACATTTTTTTCTCTAAAAACCCAGAACACAAATACCTAATACCAAAAAAAACTTCGAAAATTAATACTAACACAAACAACATGATGGATGGGAGACCCTTTCAAAATTTTTCTTGAAAAGGGCCTTCCGGAAGGCCCTAAGACCCGGTATCTGGAAACCTAAAAACCTTCTATATCAGTAATTAGAGAATGTACCACTATCAAATAAATAAGTAATATTATTTTAAGCCATGTTATCTGCAAAGAAAGTTACATTTTTCGTTTTTGATGGGAGGAAGGTGTTCCCCAAATGACAGCTGGGCATTAATTTTCAGTAAATGAAAGACGATCACTCATTGAAAGTCAGCGCCTACTTGGACAATAAAAATTTTGAATTTGAAATGTTTGCTCGCCATGTAAAGAATATCATGCAAGATTTAATTGATATGTTGTCTTTATTAATGAAATATAACATCCAAAGATGAGCATTTATTAGTAGAAAACCCATGTTGCTCTAAATTGACAGTGGTCACAAGAGCGCATTAGTTACGCATCTTAGAAGGATCCAAAGGATCCAGTACCCACATTATAATGATGAAAGTGACATATTTCAAATAAGTTTCTGCTACTTGCAGTCTAGGGATATTTCCAGAGTGCCATTCTCATTTTGTTTCTAGCTAGTTAAAATTATCCTTTCATCAAATCTATCTGCAAAAAAATTTCGAAGTTTGGATGGGCAACTTACTATACCATTAATAATTCATCCTAAGGCTCTGTCTCCACTTTGCCTATCGTTCTCTGCTGTAAGGGGATTGTATCCATGTCTTAATCAGACTCTATGTCTTATTAATCAGACTGTCACTTTCTTCGTCTGAGAATGAAAATACATTCATCTCTGTTAGTTCACTGTCTATGTTGCATGCTAAGAAAGCACTCAGCACATTCACTAACTTCCCTCTCTTTCTCAACTTCAGAATCCTAACTCTCAGTCTTTTTTGGTTGCTACCTAAACTGCTGTTTGGTTGTTCTTCATTCATTCAAACCAAAGCTACTCTCTGCATTGTGCTCGAAGTAATTTCCTAAGTCGAATCTTAAGTTCTTTCTATGTTCTCTTCATCTGAAACTCCAGGTCTTAAATCTTTATAGTCTATTTCACACACTGTAATATTATAACACAATTCACAATGTAATATCATAAAATTTCACTCTAGGTTTCTCTAAAAACTTGAAAAGTATCAACCCAGAAACCACATCCAAGCACAAATTATAATGATACTGTATGTAGTAGCAATCAATTTTTAAATTTGAAATATCCTTCTGTATAGCTTAAACTCAACCTAAATATATTTATTATGTTAATCAATAACATAAAATGATAATTTGTGTTTAATTTTGGCTTCCCTTCGAAAAAACAGGCTTTCCCTTTCAATATTAAAGGTCCACATCGACATATATAACTGATTATTTTTGTAGGGCCTTCCGGAAGGCCCTAACATTTTCTGTAGTAATGTCCAACTTTTATATATCATTAAACATTCTCTATTGCATTTTGTTTCTCAATAAATCAAGTAACCAACATGAAATCATGCCTCGTGCAAAAAAAAGTACCTGCAATTACGAAGAAAATATTTTTTGACACCGGAACAACAAAAACTAATCTAATATTCTGATCAATAAACTAGGTAACTTGCTTATAATTGGAGATAGGAAGACAAAATAATGACTATGTCATCTGGTAATCGCCAGGCTTGCAACTACAACTTTTATTGCTTTCATTTAAAGCCCTGTATTCTTCAACTTGGTCAAAATAGTTGAATAGTGTAAAAAAAACATAGGGCCTTCCGGAAGGCCCTTTTGTCTACATGTTTATACAAAATTTACGACATTATCGAGTGGTAGCAGTTCATTCCAATCACATTGCAATTGTTGTAAATCTATAGAAACTTGCAAAACAGTAAAAAAAAGTGCCTCGATTAATACCTGGGTTGCCCATAATTGCGATTTTTGAAAAATATATAAAAATTTTCATAGGTGACAAAAAGTTCTTATTTTCAATAGTTGAGCAGACTAATAAAAACTATATATGTGCAGTAGCTGTTAAGTGTCTGTAAATAACCTTTAATGAACTATTCAAAGCTGAAAAACTAAGAAGTTTTTCTGCTATATAGTACTGTGAAAATTTATTGTAAAAATGACCTAAAATAGGGCCTTCCGGAAGGCCCTTTTTTAGTCGAATTATCATTAAGACTATATTATCAATGTGATTGTTTCTGTGTCTATGGAATGTTTGGGAAGTCAATAAGTTCAGTTTCCGACTTCATGTATTTCACGGTGACCGTACATTTGAACCCACATACATTTGCACCCGTATATCCGCGGGTTCAATCTATATAAGGGTGCTAAAATCCACGGGTTAGGGTTAGTATTGGTTCAAATATCTGTAAATAAAAAATTTCTATAGATGTAATAGTATGCTGGTGCAATTGTCGTGGGTTCAAATGTAATGGAACCTTTTTTCACCTATGTCATATTTTCATAATATCGCTTTTCACAAAATACTATGTTCTGTCAATCTGTTTTTCGGTTGTCGATGTATAAGAAAATTTTTGCAACTTTTCATGTATTATCAACACCCTGTGGTATTTGAATGATAGTTTCTTTCATTTTGCCATACGTCCTAAATCTAGTTCAAAATGTGTTGGATTATTTTGCCCAAAGCAAGTTATAAACATTGAAACATGAGAATAAGTTTGGCAAGCTTGGCATAATGATAAGAAATCTGTATTTGTAAAAGATTCTGAATAACAAAACTACATAAGATTAAAACTATATTTTCCATTGGATAAGTAGCAATGTTTATTTCTTGAATGATATAACCATTATTGAACCGATTTTAACAGGCTCGCCACAATGCTACGAGTGAACTTGCAGCCATCAAAGTCATCAAACTTGAACCAGGTAATAATTTTTATGTTCTAGTTTTCATTTAGCTTGGCCTGTTACACGAAACCTATAAGGCCTGTTTGTTCTTGCTTTAACATGACCTACCCACAGGCTCATACTAAATTCCATATTGTTGCTGAGATGCTGACACTTGTGAAGTAATATATGGATACTAAAATGAAGTAAAGGTAGACTAATATTTATTTTATATAGATATAAGAGTATATTTGGAATTTTATATTTATAATGACTTACGGAAGTTCATGAAGATGCAAGCAAAATGAGTAATTCAATGACAGAAACAGTAGTGGCATATCATGCCAGTGTGAGGGCAATTCCAGTCATCAAAACAAATGATCTAATTTTATATATCTGGAAGGCATTTTATGTATTTGAGATTTACCATCATCGATTGTGAATGAATAAGGGCTTTCCCAAGTGACTCTACAGGACAATTTCAGAAATTTTGCATGTTGTTAGATGCAATATATTTTTACATTTTCAGCTACACACTCTGTATTGTTGTCCAATCAGTTGCTTTATGGGGTTTGAACAAAACTGCATGAAAGTTACACAAAAGACGTACTTAGTGGATATAAAATTTGGTTTAAAATATAGCGTGACTCTACAGGACAGCAAATCCACCATGCATTAACATTTCATTGTGTTGTGTTGTAAAATTTCGTGCTGGTACAGCGGGAGCCCTCAATAGTTTTTGGTGAAGTAACTGAAGGACCCCTCTATGTGCCACTCAAGTTACCCAATGTAACACTGTAAATCCATGACGATAATGTGCACATTGTACGTGACTCTACAGGACGTGACACTACTGGACATTTTTCCTCTTCGGAACAGCGGTCTCTATCACCTCTCAAAATTCTAATCGTTAAATAGGTACAGACATGTCCTACAGCATTGCAAACACTAATCTTCATTACCTTGAGTCCAGTTCATCTTTTTGAAATAAAATAGCTGTACCAAACAATCAAACACTTTTTGTTCAATTCATCACAAAAAAATGTCAAATTATATCAAAATTTCTACATTTCAGGCCATTTTGTGTAAACCATCAAAAACGAGGGTGAAATTTTAACTTTTTCCATGAAATGAATGCAGTTCAATAAAATTCAAGTGTCTTTTGATATAAAAATTACAAAACGATTACTTTTACTGCACTTTTTGAAAAATTATCAAATTCAACTTTTGCTGGGAATGGCCCATAACATGTTAATTTAACTGCTACAAAATCAACAGCAAAGCATTCCAAGAGAATGATTAAAGGTATCACATTACGTCACGACATTCGTGTTAGCGATAGTTGTAGCTCATACATTATTACTCGCTATCCATTTCAAGCAAGCAAACTAGACGATATCTTTGAAATGTTGGTATTTATAGCCTTGCGTGTATTCCTATAGCCAGTGAAGCTTGAAATTGTGGTGGGACTCTCGTAACTCTACCCCTTCAATGATACTAAAGTTAGCTTGTAGCAAAACATTGGAAGTTTGTTATTCAAACTGGCTTACAATCGGGAATAGCTATAATCGAAGGATTTACAATTTTGAAATATTATTTTTGAATATGAATATTTGATTTTGAATATATTTTTGAATATGTCGCACATCTGTGTCTGAGGCCGGTAAGGTCTTGAACATGTATCCTGTCTCCTTTATACCGTTTAACTATTATGCAGATACTGTTACATTTTTGAGGCAAATAAACATACATACATACACGAAACAGCATACATTTTAAATTGGTTCTTGTTAAATTAAACAAATTCTTTTATATTCATAAAAATAAAATATAGTAATGCACAGTTGACAGTATACACCTCTGCTTCTATGTTTATGTACATAATACTAACATACATATGTACTTTAGTTGGGATAAATATATTTTATGGTGTTCTATTTTTCACATTGTCAAAACCAATATGTACAACCAATCCAAATTGGTGCCTGCCTATAATACATACAAATTTCAGGTCTTAATTTTAAAAAAATTTTGAATTTCCTGTGTAAAACCCTTGTATTTCGGATCAAACAGCTCAATACAGTGATTTACTATCTTATTCATGGTGACATCACTGATATTGAGACTTTCATCTGACATATTATCAATGTAAAATGCTGGCAGACATCCAAATCGTTATTAAAATCCCTTTCAGAGATTTTATCAGATCATATTACAGGCTGTAAAACCTGTTTTATCATACTAGGGTCTTAACATGTTTTATTGAGTTGAAAATACAAGATGGTAAATGTTAGTGCGCTTTGTTTATATTGGATTACCACACTTTATGACAGATGACTCATTTGCCTACGTTTATGATGTCATACTGGACTCATTCTCCTATACAATTGGAAGGTGATCTGACAAGCCGAATTAACTTTATATGGGACAGAAACTAAAGTAATATCTATTTACTAGTATGTTTGAAAGCAAGTAGGCAATGTCATATACTATTATGAAAGGCTTTCCAAGAATTCCAATTCCATTAATATGCATAAAAATGAAAGGTTAGGGTTAGGCCATAATTTTGTTCCGATTTTCCCTATTTTAGTTCTACTTTCCCTATTTTAGTTCTATTACGAGTTCGGGGACTGTCTGTGTTAGTCAAGTGAATATACCCCCTGCCCATAGGTTTCAGTCCCTTTACACAACTTGATGTGAAGTAGGTGGACAAAATTAGTTTCCTCCATAGGTTCACACATTTCTGGAACATCGGAAAATGTTGGTCATATCACACTAATAAATTTTAACAGAATGATATATAAACATAAGATAGATATATGCGTTCAAAAATATGAAACAGTTTCTGTAAAACTTTTTTGATTGACAAAGCTACACAATATACTATGAGAAAAGAAGAATTCTCCAAGAAGTTACTGGCTGAGATTCTAAATAAAATGCTCACAATTCTCAGATTGTAAAGTTCACAATTTCCGTTCCCAATATTGAGTTCAAACTTCAAATGTCAAACATTTTGTTCAAATTCAATAGGCTACCTCTGGATTTATCTTTATGGAATTATTGCGTTATCACATTATGTTTAAAATTTGCATAATATCACTATTTCATTGGTATAATTTTTATTTCTTTTTATGGTATTCAATTCAATAATGTCTAATTATCCACAATAATCATATATCTATCGTTTTCTCTAGGTGATGACTTTGCTATCATTCAGCAAGAAATTATCATGATGAAAGATTGTAAACATCCGAATATTGTTGCCTATTTTGGAAGCTATCTAAGGTAATCAATTCTATTTAATAATGTTTCATTGTGAAGACTGGATTGCTTGAAATCCTTTGCTTTGGTATATCTGATTTCTAATGCACATTAGTGTCCAAATTTTAATTTCAGAATGCGAATGTTGCTATAGATAAAGCTAGCGTTTAATCGAACATTTCACTATTTTTTAATATTTGTCTCAATTTTACTTGAACGTATGGGAAAAGTGGGAAATGATTTTATGCTTCAAATTTCAGTGTTACTGTTATTTGACAAGTAGCATACACGTAACTACCTGTGGCTGTAATACAAGCGAACTAGCCGCATGCTTATGTTATGTATTTGTTATGAATTAGTTATTTCACCCTATATCTGAATACAACCATTCTATGAATATCGTTGTCTCTATAGTTGTAATAATGTTGGAAAATGTATTCAACAATCAACATGCTTAGTTAATTACCATAATTAATTCTAATGAAAAATGATTTTGTTGTGGATTATCTGTTAAGCATTTCCTTCCTAATTTCTATAAACCTAATGGGGTATAATATGGGCGTGGGGTATATTCTCTTGACTAACACAGACAGTTCCCAAACTCAAAATAGAACTAAAATAAGGAAAATCGAAATAGAACTATGGCCTAACTCTAATCTGGTATACACACTACGGGAGTACCTCAAATTCTGTGAAGCACTACATACAGTGTTTGATCCTGTCTTTTAATCAGCACAAACCAGTGGTTTTCGAAATCTAATGATCCATATCCCCCTTCCAACACTCTCAACACTCTGTAGTAGGCTTTTGGGTTCAGCCTTTGCTTATGGGCCTAGAGAACTCTTTAGTCCCATATCCAACGGCCTAGGTTGAGAACTCTGGTGTAAATCATGCATAATTTGCTGAAAAAATATCTCAAGGTTATAAAAGAATATTTTAGAATTTTAGCAAAACCTTATTTACTTCTTTCAGGCGAGATAAATTATGGATTGCAATGGAATATTGTGGAGGTGGTTCAATGCAAGACATTTATCATGGTAAATATTATTTTTGTAATTCATAATGCCCTGGTATTCATGTTATAATATTATGGTATTTGAGAAAGTCTGTATATTAAAAATGATAAGTTTCTGACTTTTTGTTGGTGTTACATTTATCAAAAGTCATAACCAATTACCGTAATTCGAATTTGCTACTCCAAATACTGTCGAAAATAATATTAAATATAATAAAGGGAATATTGAATGTGTATTCTGATTTTGGTAAGTACTCAACGAAGGAATTCGAAAGAATTTTCTGTAAGTTTACAGGAGTTGATTTTTTTATTGCAGATTTATCAGGCACGTATTGCCTTGATTTTATTTCCAATATTAAATCTTCGAGAGTTGAATGGAGTTCATTTTTTTATTTGTCAGATGGCAATTGATTGATTAAAATGGTCTATTTTCAATTGAAATTATTTCTAAATTTAGGAATTTCCCTCATCAAATATGCGAGAAAATAATTCCAAGTATTATATAGTTCTATCAAAATAATTTCAAAACACCATTGCCTTAGATATATACAGAATGGTATTCATATAATTCACCACAATTAGGATAGGTTGGCTGGTATAAGTATGAAAATTTCAACAATATTAAACATGCATTTAGATTCCGTTTAGATGTTTGCTCTAATTGACACAAAAATACATTTATTTGAACAAATTTATCTGTAAGTAACCGCCCTTTTTGTCATCAACCTCCATTACAAGTGAACACAGTACAATAAAGTTAAACAAAGGAATTCGACTGGCTGTAATTTTACTTGTGATACAAGAATGCAAAAATAGATATAGTTTTTACAGCTTATGGGTTGAGATCACAATATTAAGCACACAATGAATGATAAGGTTTATAGTTTAGACCAGTGTAATAAAATATTTTATTTGTTTGCACCTGAAAACATTCCATACCACTGATAAAAACGTTTTATGTTAATGCATTGTGTTTGTGTACCATAGTAGGTGAACAATTTTTTTTAAGGTAATTCATGTGTTCAAATCATGCTTTTTCCAAAATCCCCTAACTTGGGTTCAAAAACATAAAACTAATCCTATACCTAATAGGGTCGTTCCAAGCAAAAGTTGAATTCTATCAATTTTTTTAAAAGTGTAGGGAAAGTAAATTTTTTTGTATTTTTTATATCAAAAGACATTGGAATTTTATTGGACTGCATTCCTTTCACTGAAAATGTTTAAATTTCACCCAGGTTTTTGATGGCTTTTAAAAAATGGCCTAAAATGTAGAAATTTTGGTATAATTGACCTATTTTATGATGATTCGTGACACAAAGTGTTTGATTGTGTGATACAGTTATTTCATATGAAATAGACGCACTAAATTTAGGTTAATAAAGTTCAAATGTTTGCAGTGCTGTAGGACATTTCTTCACCCATTCAACGATTTATTACCAGAATTTTAAGAGATGATAGAGGCCGATGTTCCGAAGTGGAAAAATGTCCTGTAGTGTCCCGTCCTGTAGTGGCACATCACATACAATATGCACATTATTGGCATAGTTTTACAGTGTTACATTAAGTAACTTGAGCAACACATAGAAAGGTCCTTCAGCTACTGCACCAGAAAATATTATGGGCTCTCGTCCTGTAGTGTCACGCTATATTTTTTATATTCACTAAGTAAGTCTTTGGTTGTAACTTTTGTGCAATTGTCTCCATATTCAATAAAGCAACTGATTGGACAATGACACAGAACATGTAGCTGAAAATGTAAATATATATTGCATCTAATGACTAATACATGCAAAATTTCTGGAATTGTCCTGTAGTGTCACTTTGAATAGCCCAATAGAGCTAGCTAAAGCATATAATAATATCATGAATTCATGTGAAGAGAACATGCTACTCGTATTCATCATGTTTAGAGCTTGTCAGGAATTATCAATTTTTTACAAATTGCATCAAATTGTTCCCAAAAATTTTTTGGATGATTATTTTTTAGTTTATACTCTGAAACAAGAATTTTTGTAATTCATTAAAGAATAGATCTGTTAATAAACTTTCATGTTCAGTAAAGCAGATACACAACCGATCATACGCATGGCTCAATATAATATATTGATAAAGTATATACATTTGGGATGTTGGTAAAACTATACCCTATCATTTGCACCTTTCTTGTGTGCTTTTAGTATCATATAAATGGAGCCTTATCAATCAACTACGGTAAATTTATTTTGTTTTTCTTTCATTTATAATAAGATAATTGAATGTTATAAAAAATGATAGAAAATTAATGTTCATTTGTCACTTCAATGAAAATTTGAATCAGATATTTGTGGTATCTTGGTTAATGGTTACCAATAAGTTCTGATTGCTTCTGAAATACAGGTTGCCAATTTAATAATAAGATGATATTGGTATATATATTGACGCATACTTTAGAATTAATGAATATTGAATATTAAGAAAACATTATTTGCTGAAAAGCCAACTTGACGTTTACTTCATTTCTGCTGTAGGTTGATCGACATATGCCTTCCCTAACTGAATTCTATATTAATAATACGCTTTCAATTTTGAATAAAATGTGAACACTTAGTTCAACCAAAAATCTTATTAATGACTTCGAATTTTCGATAGTATTTTTCTAGGCTTCACATCTTGCCAATTCTATAAATAATACTCATTGTTTTCAAGTAGATATGCACATGATGAATGTTAATGTCTTTATTAATATCTTTGCATAGAATTGGAAGTCTATGTTTTGAGAAGATTCAAGGGTTGTAGCTTGTAGGATGACCTTGACTCTGAATATGATTCAAATTGGGCATTAGTAAAAATGATTACATCAAGTTATTTGTTGAAAAAACACCATTCTAACTTTTTTATATTCATATTGTACAGAATATTAAAAAAATTCAATCCTCAAATTTCGAATAAACTATGTTCTTACTGCAATACTGCCATGCAGACCCATTTGAACTGTTACCAAATCGTTTTCAAGTATTTTCCCTAAACTTGTAAAATTTATTTGATTTAATTTTTTTTTATGTAACATCTAACCTTGTGGCATAAGAAATAGCATTGAAAATTTCATAAATTGTTTCTTGTATTATACTGTATTGATAATTTCAATTTGGTTAAAAAAAAATTTTAAATACTGGAAATTCCAATGCTAATCGTCCATGGAATTTCCAGCAAAATTTAAAGCTTTCAATAGCTTGCAGCATACACAGATTTTAAAGATATGCATATTTTGTTCTTTATCAAGCAGAAAGTAGCAGAATGACTATATTTATGAAATTGTCATGATATATATTCTAAATGACTTTAATCTGAAACAATAGTTCTACTGCATAAATTTTACGATAAAAAATTTATTGCATGCTTCAAATTTTATCAAACTTAGTGAATACTGATGTTAATTATTTAAATGAATATTATCAATAATATATTTCCCACGACTCCATTCCTGGAAGTCTATGGTCGCGTTAAATCATTACTCGTTTGAGTAATCAATATCTATACTTCCCAAAGCTTCGTTATCCGATGATCAAACTATTTCAGACATTGGAATTTGTAGATAGATCAAAAGGAATTGATTAGGCCTCGATATTATCTGTACCTTCCACTATACCTTCCAATTTCTTTCGGTTTTATAATGTAATTTGCATGATTTGTTTTTCTCACTACAAGTACAAATCCATTTTACGATAATTTGTTTTATCAACACAAATCATATTTGATATCGAGCATTGTCTTGTTTCAAATCCATTTTATAGTAAAACTAAATAGACAACTATAGCATAGCAAACCAAATTTGTTATCCGGCATGGTCTTGTTTAAAAATGCTTATTTCTGTGACACAAAAATAAAAATCTGTGACAAATAAAATTAAAACTTGAATACATAAAATAAAACCAAAAGTGCATTAGGTAAAACAATGACCACGGAGTCATTTATGAAAGTTGTGTCACTGCATGCCTGCAGAATATTATTTGATATTTTCAAATAGCCAACAACAATTCTGGGTGCCTTTCTAAATATCTTCAGTTCTTTTTATTGTACTGCTTACGATATGTCTTTCTGCTTTTTTCTATCCCTAGATTAAATCTTTTTTTATATATATTTTACTGTCATATTGCATCAATAATAAGTACCTGCTTGGGAGTAAACTTATATTACATCAACAGTCCTATTACAGAATACAATGATTTATAAATTTTTGATTTTCCCATAATATCATGAACAGTAGACAATAGTAAGTCAGTAGTTTATTTTTCGCCAAAATGAAAATGCACTTGATGCAAACGAAAACTACCGTAGGTAAAAAACATGAAAATGGCATTTCATGGTGAAGATTGACTCAAAAAAACAATGTTGGTTATCAAGCTGCGACATCCGAATATGGTTCCATATGGATGCAAAGACCGAATAGTCAGCGTTCGCCCCTAGTTGATGTCATTAGTTCAAGACTTGGAGCTCAAATTCACCATTTCACCCATTATTAATAGGCTATGAATTGAGTAGGTAATGGCAAATTTGAAAAATTTTGATCTTTCAAAAATGGGACCTATGTACGGAACCTTGTTCGGAGGTTCGCATAATATGCCTCCTGATGTTGTATATTGCATTCACGCTGCACTTTGGATACCTCAGTGTTAATTAGGTCCATATGAGGAATTTATGACTAATAAATACTTAGTAATCAGCATAATATTCTTTATTATTACAGTCACCGGTTCCCTGGAGGAAAAACAGATTGCCTACGTCTCAAGAGAAACATTACAGGTGCAATTTTCATTTTTATTGAACACTTTGCTTTATGAAGAGTGAAGACTAATAAACTGGAAATCGTATTTATCCTTAAAATTCATATAATTTGCACCTATTTGAGGTTAACATGCTTATATGTTATTGTATTTATCAGATGATCTGTTGCTTTTGAACTTCAAATTTCTCAAACTTTTATTTTGGTTTTATTGGCTTTGCCTTAAGGCACCTCATTGAAGTAAAATTTTAATACTTTTAGAGTGCCACAGTTGCTGAATTATGTATACCTACCTATATTACAACTAATATAGGGTGATCATAAAGTCTTAAAATTTGTTGGAATTGCAAAGGGAATTTATCGATATCATAAATTGTTTTGGCCCTCACAGATGTATTAAATGAAGTAAAAATACTTGAACGATACCGATTACAAAACATCAGACCTAATTAAGATATATTGAGAACTGACTTCATTTACGAAATTAAAATTCTAAAGGGACTACACCCTGAAACTTTGGAGTTCTCTTTTTGGTTGGTGTTTGTTATGGCCATGGATGATCCCAACTGAACAATCTACTATTTAAATTCCAAAACAGTTCCTGAACCGTGGCTTGTGGGTCAATTACAGCTTGCGTAATGATTTAATATGGCCTGTCGAACCCAAGTGATATATTTAAACACTTCGGGTTTTTACTGGAGGTGGGCCGGGATTCAGATCGGGACTCAGATTCGAGTCGAATCTAGGCATTTTTTGGACTCTGATTCGATTTCGAGTCCACATCGTTTTCACCGAGTCTATAATCAATTCTGTTTTTATTAATTTACGCCTATGTTTGTACTTTTACCCCTATAAATCTCACCACATACCTTAACTAGTTGAAATTCAATATTAGATATGTAACAATTTCACTCGTGTGTGGAATGGAAAGCATGGAGCGTTTTAAAACGTTTACATCAACTACTAAAATGCAAGCATTGTATTGACGACTAGTGGCATCTCTCTACCATTTGCGCACGCGACATAGTAAATTTAAGGCTAGAAATATCTGGAATTATGGGAAAGCATTGTAGTCAAAAGCTTTTTATTTTTCATATTGACATGTAAGAATTTCTAAATAGCCGTCCAGAATTGACGCAAGGTGGTGGGCTGGAAATCCAGTTCACAGCTAAGGCGCACATTGACCCACGTTTACGTTTGTATTATCGTCGCCAGAAAAAGAGGAAAAATATATTTTTGAATTGATTCAATAGCTATTTTCGGAACCATTAGGCAAAAAATATGAGCTATGATGTATTTTTGTGAGCGTGCGATGCTGTAGTATGATTAAAGACGTGTTTTTTTACCTTTACATTGTGACGTCACAGACTCGATGGATTTGATTAGAGTCCTTGAACTATTACTCGGATCCGTCGTATCTCTGTAATGCTGGACTCGTCCCATCCCTAGTATTTACTTTACCCTTTGTGGGCACTCCCCTCTCCTAGTCTGCAAATGTTCTTTCGTTCTAATTTGACACCCCCCTCCCCCCCCCCAATAAAAAAAAACTCGGTCAATCAACTTTGGGAACCACTATTCTAAATTATTGTTTTTTAATTTGGCCACATTTAACATAGAACTTGTAAGAGAATGTTTATATTCAATAAGTGACTTTTGGAATGCAGTAAATTTAGAAGAACAATTTTGGGTTAAATGAAGATATTTTGGTGCAAATGGAGACCTCAATCGTTCAAAATGCTTACTTTTGAATAAACCTATAAAACTAGATAAATCAAGATTTGAATTGAATATTCTGTAGCTAATTTCAAATTGGTCGAAATATGCTATGTGTTTTTGACATCCCCGGTCAAACCTAACTTTTCCTTGTTACTGTAATTTTTTTTTATAAAACAGTCATTTATTACCTTTACTATTGTATCAGGGCTTGTTTTATGGTTTAGATATCTGTTATACATTACTAAGGCAGAATAACTGCATTTGCATTACAGTGATGCATTAAATATGATGACCTCATTCTATGCATCCTGTGTGGTCGGTTGCCTACTTCAATATTTCCTTAGTTTATATCAGCAAGGTCTGATATTTAAAGTCCCTTCTGTATTGCTTTATCATTAACAATTGTCACCTAGATCAGGGGTTTAAAACTTTTGATGTTATGGAGAACATGAAGAGGTTGATTCTTATTCACGAAGCCCTACGATAAATTTACTACCATATGAACAAAAAAACTTGTTCCTACTTGCCGATTAATGTTCCAGAGTAAAATGAAATTACTTTATTGATTTACTCGGACGTGTTTGCTGCTCAAATTTTTTTAATGCTGTTATTTTTTCTTTGGACAGTTACAAAATTAGCCAAGTCAGTATTTTAATAAATAAATGAATAGTTTGCAGAGCCTCTAGGTTTCCAAATTTCACTTTCAAGTTTTTTATCCTGTTGTCTTGTGGTGTAGTGGGACAGATATTCAAAATCTGATTGTTTTGGCAGAAAAGCTGTTTACCTGCTATTTCTAAACTATCCATTATTACCATTTTTAGACAATTCAAAAACCATTATGGTCAAATTTACGTACAGTAATACATTATTTGTCAGAAAAGTATGGTTGCATGGAGTTTAAACCGTATGTAAAATTCTTTTTTATTACTTGTCCAAATGATATTTCATTTTTTAACAGGGCTTGAGATATCTTCATAGTAAAGGAAAGATGCACAGAGATATAAAGGTATGAAACTATTCTGATTTTACTGCTCCCAGAGAGAATTTGTGTCATCCATTCAATCATTTTTTTAATCTGCATTTCTCATTTTATTCAGATTTTAGTAAAAACAAGACTCATATTGCTTCTTTCTTATGCTTCTCCAAATTGATCGTTTTAGTTCGTTCTCCATGTTATCATATATCTATTGAGATGATGCAAAGCATTTTACCAGCACTTTCAAGTTTTATTGCCACTTCACTTACTAATGCCTTAAATTTATTGCTACTCTAACAAACAACATTTATATTTCCATGTTAAGTTCCATTGAAAATGTGTTAGCATCTCTAGGATAGGTTTTTTTTGACTACTTTTATTCTGAACAGTATGACTGAGCAATAAATGTTTGTGGAATTTCTCATCCTTATTAGTCTGGTCAACTTTTTTCAAAATAAACTAAGAAAAAGATTATTGAAGACTTGCGGTCAATTACAAATGATGGTGTCCAAATATATTGTTTTTTAAATTTTCAAATACTTGACTTTTGTCTTCTGCCCTTTTTTACTTTCTATATAATGATTTTCCTTGCTTCTATGGCTCTCAAAATTTTTCTAAAAATCCAAGATAAAAGATTTATTCAAATTATAAAATTATTTGCTTTTTTTTTATTTCAAACAAGATTTCGTATTGGTTCTGTATCTTTGAGAAAGGTTGAACCTAAGTGGGAAAAGAATATGATATGAGATGTTTAAAAATATTTGGTTGTCAAGAAAATTTCTTGATGGCACATAATTATGCTTATTATTGCCAATTTTAATTTGTTTTCATTATCTTTAATCTTTATTATTCCCAGGGTGCCAACATCCTTCTGACAGATGATGGGAATGTAAAACTTGCTGATTTTGGTGTATCGGCTCAGATCACACAAACCATTGCAAAGAGAAAATCATTTATCGGAACACCGTATTGGATGGCTCCAGAAGTTGCAGCCGTGGAGAGAAAAGGAGGATATAACCAACAGGTGTATATTTTTTGAGGTGTTTTCAGACCTTCGCCACAAATAAAGCTTTGTAAATTTACTAAATCACAAGTCCTAGCCAAGTCTATGAGGCATAGTCTCATGAAAATAATGAAAATGTCTAGTTTTGTAGGCGGTCATGTTAAGACTACAAAAGCTGAAGTTCCCTTTTTCAGGGATAAATATTAAAAATCCTACATTGGTAGATAGACTCGCCTCATAATTAATAGGACAATTACAATTTTTACGGAAATTTGATCAAAGGTAAAAAATGAGTGAGATTAATCTCTGAGCGAAGTTAGGTATCATTTGAGCGATCATTTAGATACCAAGAGCCACTGAGACTGTAAAGAATCATACTTTAGAATTAAGTGAAGTCACTAATGTGCCAAGAGTTACTGAGACTAAAAAGAATCATAGCATAGAATTATGAGGTAGTGATTGTTAATCAGGAAAATATAAACAAGGTAGTGAATTGGGTACTCTCGTGGTATGTCTATCAGGTTAGGGTTAGGCCATAATTTTATTCAGATTTTCCTTATTTTTATTGTTAGTTCTATTACGAGTTCGGGGACTGTCTGTGTCAGCCAAGTGAATCTACCCCCTGCCTATAGGTTTCAGTCCCTTTAATCAACTTGATGTAAAGTAGGTGAACAAAATTAGTTACCTCCATATTGGTACTCATATTTCAGGAGTGCCGTGAATTGTACATAAATAAAATCCATAGGGAAAAAAAGGGAAAACATTTTTCGTATGGTAGGTACGCTGACAATAAAGGGGTGAAAGCTCACAGCCAATCGAGTTTGACAACTGGAAAGTACAGTGTTTTATGAATGTTTTATTTGTCTCATATCTTTAAAATCGACAATGACCCTCATTGCATCATCGTTTTGCAATCTTTAGGCTTTTACTAATGAAATATTTATATTCAGTGTGACGTATGGGCTGTGGGAATTACTGCCATTGAGTTCGCAGAATTGCAACCGCCTATGTTCGACCTTCATCCCATGCGGGCACTCTTCTTAATGTCAAAATCAAGTTTTCAACCTCCTAAACTGAAAGAAAGAAATAAGTAAGTCGATTCTATTTCAAAAGCTATTTTAATTATTTCATAACAGGTCATGTTCAACTGGAAATGTTGCATTGCAAATTCATCGAAATAAAATTTTATAATGCAGAATGTTGAGGTGATCATCGATTTGATTGAAAAGTTTTTTATGCTGTAAAAAGTAGGACTAAGTTTTTTTGTTTTGTTTGACCATCAGTAGGCTTGCACGTAATTTACAAATTTACGGAATTACGGAATTATTTCGAATTACGCAAGCGAAGTCACGAATTACGTAAAGTCGTAATTATTGGTCGAGCGCTTTCGCGATTGAAACGAGCTCTCTTCAGAGCAGTCAATTCCGTCGATTGTAAAAAATTAAAGTTTAAGTAAAAGAAGTTAGAGTTCCGGTATTCGCAGCCGTTTTTCTCTCTATTGTTAGGCAGATGGGGAGGGCATAACGCGTCATTTACTAACCTATTATCAACTTATCTAAGATGGCCAATGTACATATTAACCGTAAATAAGGAATAGAATTGTGTCGAGACCGATGGACGCCAACACACCTGGTTTCAACTGCTTCGGGTGAAATGAGTGAAGAATGTAAGAGATCAACTTATAAAACATGGTCTATTTGTGAACGTCGTGATAATTAATGTCGCGCTTATCAAACAGCAAGAGACGGAAGAGAAATTGCGTAATGAACCAACGCAACTTAGTCCTTTCGGCATCGGTAAAGCGATTGAGACGACAGAGAAACAACATTACGACGGGATTTCCCGTGTTTATTCTGCGCGAAATACATTTTCTATTACAAAATTTGATGTTCTGTTACCGGTTTTATCGTTATATATCTGTCCGGACTTGGCATTGCTCAATATGTTTTTCACAATGCCTCGCAAATCGCAATATGTCGGCCAAATATGATTACCTGTCTTTACCAAATGCGGCAACTTATTTTGATTTATCGTCGACCTGAATACCACCGGCACTCGACCAAACTTGTGTCAATCTTGGCAAATAGGATTGTCGACTTGAGTTAGAAAAATAAATTAATATTTTCATGAGTGCAAAATAAATGTCACAAAATGCATTGTTTTGCGATATAACTTTGTATTTTCGGAGAAGGCATGTCATATAAGTACGGTATTTTAAATAATGCGCAAATAATTAATATTTGATCTAAATTTATCGTAAATAATGTTATAACATTTAGGCCGCGAAATGATTTAATGTAAAATGAAGCATGGAATTCGGAATATCGTCAATAAGTCGGCATCAATAATTATTATAAAATGGTAACTAAGTAGTAAAGTCGGATATTGTAAAAAACGGTGAAATAACAAGTCTTCGTCGCGAGGCAAGCGAAAGTATAATCAAACGAGAGAATACGCTTGTAGTTGATTAATAAATTAGCAACCCGGAATTTTTATTCAATACGAAAGTCGTATTAATACGTCAATACGATTTTAAAAAAGTGAACTATCGTTTCTTAAATATATTACCAGTGTTGGTAATGATAAAATTGATCGCATAAAATTTGGTGATAAAGTTGATAAAGGAAAATCAAAGCTAATACAAAAGATAAAAATCAGAATAAAATTATTTTGAATTCACTCCTTGATATTTGTCTTTAACATCTGTCTCCGGCGTGTGGTACTGCCGGGAATATGAAAACCAAACTTCGATGTCCCATTCGGAATAGAAGTGGATTAAATAGGTTGGTATGCTAGGTTTAAATGTGTGAAAAAAATATCGCAATTACGGGGTCATTACGTAATCGATTTGGCCGTAATTACGGAATTGATTTTTGTCAATTACGTGCAAGCCTAACCATCAGATATCAAGTGCTCACATTGAAAATTTTTTGAATAAAAATCTTTTAAATATTTCCTGAATTCGATAATTTTTGAATGTACTCAAATATTCACTTGAAAAATAGGAAAGTTAGATGTAATTTATTTGTCTTTCGTTCTTTTCACTTCTGTTACTGATGACAGAAATAAGTGATTATTTGAAATGATGGTGTGTAAATTATGTTGTTCTGACAAGGTATGAAGTGATAAATCAACAATAAATTGCTGTCACACTGTTCTTCATGTCTTTGACACTTCAGTAGTTATGTTAAATTGGTTATTTGCTGCCTCTGCAGATGGAGTGCTGACTTTCATGGATTTCTGAAACAAGCTCTTCAGAAGAATCCAAAGCGAAGACCAACAGCGGAGAAGTTATTGCAGGTATAAACATTTTATTTTGTACTTGTATATACATTTTGTTGAGTTGAGTGTATGATGAATAATATTGGAGCACAGATAGCTTTTCCTGAAAATTGGAAAAATTTAATATAAGTGAGCAGTTAATCTCAAACTTTTCTTATTTCATTCAGCATACTTTCGTTGCACAAAACAGTCTTGGTCCCAAGCTTGGAATGGAATTATTAGACAAAGTACGAAATCCGACAGCGCAAGATGTGCCTGACGATGATGTGGATGATGATCCTCTGATGACAGCAGGACCCAAGGTCATTCATCGACCTTCAAGACCTGCTGGAGAAGACAGACAGATTAAAACGAAATCCGAGGCCATGTGTGAGTATAGTTTCTGATTGATAATATACTGAACGATTAAGTTTGTTTTATTTGGACATGATTTGGATCTCTTTAACAATTTACTGTAACTGTAACACAAAATATCCTTTTATATAACTGTACAACTACTCACTTTTTTTGAGTTCTTGTTTTCACAGTTGGAAGGGACTCCAATGTAGCGTTTTGTTTCATACATTTGTCAAACTTTTTTACTTGGTCTTTGGGTTATTGGATTCTTTTTATTATTTTGTATGGTTGTGCTCAATACGTTATCGCACTGTTGTATTTGTTTGTTGCATTGTTTTTATTTGTTCAGAAGCTAATTCCTAATTTAAATTTTTTCTCTTTTACAGTTGAGGAAGCGATATTTTTACCTGGAAAAACAGACAACGATGTGAGTATCAAAATTTTATTTTGCGAATTGGTTTTCATAACTTGTCCAAACCTTTTCTCATATTCTTATGGCATTACTATTTATTTAACAGAAATATGGTTCAAAAAGTTTTTTCAAATCTGATGCTGCTTTTATCTGGGTGCATTGCATTCTCTACTTTAGCTAAAAACTATCTCACATACAGTAACTTTGTTCTAATCATTGTACAGAACAAATATTTATTTGATATCTTTTTACCTATATACGAATATCTACATTAAAAAAAAAAAATCTTTTTGATTGAGATTGTCTACCTAAATTTTTGCACACTCATTTAGGTGAAAAAAACGGGATTTGAGCTTTATAATAATGTTCACACAATTTAGCCTCGCATTTTAATGATGACTCTAGTTACTTTACATTAGATACATATAAGCTTGATTTATTAGATTCATAGTCTCAAAATTCATCTCTAATATTGTGAATACAGGAAGCTCCATTATATAAAGACGGTGAGGCCTGGATGCCTGATGAAGGATTGAGCAAGTGAGTTTATATTCTTATCATAAGCATGCCGTAAAGTTTTTTTTTTTTTTTCACGCTTTGGTTTGTCATTGTATGATGATTGATTGTTCACCAAGTCTTGTTTCATATTATAATTTGCGATTTTTAATGGATGGTTCTTTGTTCGTAGTTGTTAATATCTTAATATCTTACTATTATTAAATAGGGGGTAAATTGAAAATGTCAAAAAATTATGATGTATCTAACTCTTTTGGGTAACTCATTATCACAGGGTGGATCTTACAATGGTCAGTTATGATCAAAAATAAAGTAATATTTATGATTATTTTAATAATTTAAAAGAATTTATTTTATTATTCCATTGTAATAAATGAATAATAATTTGAATAATAAATTTGTTACTAATGCTATTTGACAGTCTGTTTTGTCCTTCAGTAGAAATATGAAAAGTTTGATATTTTGGTTAAGAAGTCCTTTCTTCGTCATTGTAAATTAAGACAAGATTTCTTTGTAATACTTTTATTTACTCTGGAATTATCACGATTTGGCTAAAAATGCATTATTTGATACAATGTATTTATTTTGAATATGTGTTGTGTAAATTTATGCATTCTAACTATTTATTTTCCATAATCTTTTATGAAATCACCGTTTATGGACATTTTAAGTCTAGTGATAGAGATCATTTTTTTTTCATTTGCTATTTCACATGACACAGACTGTAAAATAGGGAAAGCAATGTTAATAACATCATCTGCAGATTTGATCATTAGCTTGGCTTGGTTTCCTTATTTTAATATACTCTAGTTTACCTTCTATCTGGAGTTTTATAAATTTTCTTGAGAACGTAAACAATAACTTTTGGAGTTAATTGAATACCTTGTGTTACACCAATCACAATGAATTTGACTATTTGACTATGGCATTTTTGTTCTAATTACAGCCCTGTCGACTTGAGTTTGTTTTGACTGTTTTATGTGTGATGTTTCCAACATATTTTGTTCATTTTCTTCCTGCAACAAACATGAATTTTTTCTTTTTGATTTGATTTCGATTTTTATTTTTCTCATTTCTCTCACGGCAGAAGTTTACTCAGCTCTGTAGAGGAAGAATTGACTTTACGGTAAATAAAAGTTTTACCTAAGTTGCATTCTTGCCAAATCTCAATACTATATCTAGACTTGTGAACGGGTGGACTTCATTTGGTGGTTGTTATAATTGCAAACGATTTTGAAATGCGTGAAATTGAAAATTCATTATTTGAAAATTATATATCGAAGCCCCTTGAGTCATGTGTCATTCTCAATAAATGAGGTATATAAATATTGTAATCATTTCAAGTGTCCATCTAATTCATTGGTTATTGAAAATTATTACTTACATCAAGGCATACAAATTTTGGTACTCCCGAAGTATGTGAACCAAGATGGTAAACACCGGAACGTAGTATGTGTACAAGGTTAGGGTTAGGCCATAATTTGAATCCAATTCTCCTCATTTTAGTTCTATTACAAGTTCAGGGACTAGCCAAGTGACTCCCATAGTATTTGTACCTGAAATTATGGCCTAAACCTAACCTGGTACACGTACTATGTTCCGGTGTCCTCTATCTTGGCTCACATAGCCATCTAATTTTGATAAAGAAACGGACTCATCTCTATGTTTTGTCTTCATCATATGGTTCTCAAAATTTTGCTACATAATGACCAATAATTAGAATAAGACGAAGGTTCCAAATAAATTAAACCAAATGTTTATATTACCAGCTCTGCTTTTTAAAACGTTGTTTCTCATATTTTTGTTCAATTCAGTTTCTGTGAGCATGTCTGTTTCCATATTTTTTGTTTCATTGATAATTGCAATCAAATTGCATGTATTCGCATAACATAAATAAATTAACTACTTATGTTGTGAGGATGAAAATTCTGGCCCTTTTAACAGGACCTTTTTTGAATGTCTATGGTTTTTGTTTCTTGGAAACCTCTTGTTCAATCATATGAATGTTATGAAATTAACTATTAACCGGAGCTTATGGAGTCGAGTCATGATTTTAATTCCTTGGGGTCATAGTTCGCATTCCAGGCTTGCATGAGTCAAATTTCTTATTAAGAAAGAGTATTAAAAAGATGTTGATATGTTAGTTTTTATTTTCAAAATTCTATTTGCTTTGGAGTTTATAGTTACAAATTGATTAAAAATAAACACAAAAGCCGGTAATTATCCAATTCCTTATGCACCCATGATCACTTGGCACTACTCCAACTTACATAAAAAAGGTTCCATTTGTAAATATTTTTGTTTTAAATGTCAATACTGTTAAATACTATTCCCAAAAAGGTCCCAAATGATTTGACTATATTTAGGAAGTTTTCTGTTTTTGTTAAACTTACGGTAATAAAATATATAATATGGTGAGAATGAACAGAAATATATAATACATTCATGATTTAAAAAAGTTGCCTAATGAGTCTTTGTCCATAAATGAGTATCAGTGCAGATTCAGAGATTTGACGAACATTTAGTAATGTCATAATTTTGTAGTTTAATTAATGTTGGAAAAATTAGAGAATATTAAACAGTTCTTCGCATAAAAATTGGAATTTCAAATTGAACTTGGAATATGTTATTTAACAACTTATAATCGGATATTTGTGTTGAAAATATCTGTTACAATTAATACTGGTGACAAAATTTGGTGAAACTAACGTTAATGTGTGAAAATTAACAAGTTTACAAAGTAAACAGAGATTGATTCTGCTTGAACCTGACTCTTCTCAGTATGGTCATGACATTTCCACCAAATAACATTAGAATTCTTGATCTGAACACGGTTTAGTTTCTCTTAAAAATCAGGGTTTTTAACTCTCATTTTGTTATTTCTAGGGGACACAAGACAAGCTTTGAACAAGAGTAAGATATTTTTACATTTGAACTTATACCTGGTAATATTCACAACTCACAAGACTGACTATAATTAAAATTGCATCCTTTGGTTGTGTGTGAACGTGTTTTATCAATTTTCTCTGAGATTTATAGGATAAAGATGTCAAAAGTTTAGAAATCATTTAATGGCATATCATGTGCCTTCCATTCTGTACAAGACTCTTTAATAATGTGTTGAGTTTGAATAGCTACAGTTAAATCATGTTTGCATATTTGTACCCCCAATACAGGTCAAATACACCCCTGACTTAGGGTATATCTATGTAGTAATCCCTTACGTCGTCGAAAAACACATATTACGCTTGTAAATAAAACAAGTGAAATTACAAGTACCTTTTATTTTACAGTGACGCAGGTACAATGCGAGCTGCTGGTGCACCTAGCGAAGGACCTCCACTTCCTCCAAAGGTAACATTCTGGTTCATAGTTCAGTATGTAACGTATCGTTGAGTGGTATAACTGGAGTTCGGCTAGGCCCCTATAAAGACTCAACTGTCCCTAGTCTTCTATATAACTTCTATTTATGTATATATATATATATATAAAATATGACTAGTTTTGCTTTTATTAATGATTTATATCAGTATTTTATTCGTCGTGTTCAAGAATAATGGATATAATATTGAATAGCCTGATTAATTACTTAAATTTAATGCTTATTTTTGTTGAACCTTAGCCGCAACCACAAATGGATAATTCGCTGGTAATTTTTGGTTTCTGCAAAATTTATGTTTTTTATTGTTTTTGATTTGACAAGAAATACATGCTAAGACATAGCAAGTTTTTTCTTATTGGAGTGACATTTTCTTTGTTTGCAGAAATGAATTTTTGTTTACTTTTATTTTCAAAATTTGCCTGTGATTTTATTTTCATTTGGAATGTCTGATTACAGCCGCGGCAATATGGTGGAGATGCCCGTCCAGCGAAAGAACCTCAAAGATTAGCGAAACCCCCTGTTCCCCCACCTACATATATGCAGTCTATGGCAGCCAATAGCAGCAATAATGACTATTATAATGGCACTGACGGTGATCAGCCGCCGATCGTACCACCGAGGCGCAAAAACTCTCCAACGTTACAGGCAATGTCTTCATTAGTTCTTGCGGACCCTGCTTCTGGGAGACTACCCGCCCGTCCCACTCACAGATCGAACGCTCATGAATCCAGTTTATCAGGGCCAGCCCCACAAGTTCCCCCCCAGCTTTCAACTCCGACAGTCATCCACAGGCCTTCACATCATCATGAGGTACAGGATGACGACAATACACCCCCTGGAACCCCCCCTAGAAGGCCCCCGCCCCCCACACAACAAACTCATTCCAACGTAGACTCATCATCGTCAAGTCACACTCTTGTGGCAGCAAAGGATACTGTAAGACTGAATTTTAATTTTGTTTTTCAATCAATTTGTACTTGTTGTAATGACACCTGGCTAAAAGCTATGTTAATCCAATAATGGTTGTATTTTTTGTTTGAATTTATCTCATGTTTGAGCTGAAAACAAGAATTCCAGTTCAGTTTAAATTACCAAATCTTCAGTAAAATATTTTCCTAACTTTGCATTTCAGAATTTAAATTTACATTTTTTGACAAAATTCACCCATTTTTATCATCAAAGTCTAATTTTGTAAATGGCAGATAAACGAAAAATTTTGAATTTGATCAAATTTTAGGCGTAAATCTTCTATGCTTCTGATTAATAACATAAAGTATTAGGATCGCTATTGCTAATTCTAACCTTAAAATTTTTCCTAGTACTTGGGTTAGCTAGTTAGTAGCCAGGCTTAATAAGATTAAAGTGGTGCTGACATTTCATATAAAACCTGGAAAACTATTGGTGACATTTTTGTTCAAATTATAAATCGAGCATGTTAAATACGAGATATGTGATATTAGTTTTCTTTTGATTTTTGCAAACATTTTTTTCTTTTAACTGAAATTTGAAATGAAATTTTGACCCAAAAAATTGTTGCCACATTTTGAAAACATACTTTACATGATTTATTCTTTATTACGATTAAAAACTATCAGTGCAAACTGTTACAGTTCTTTTCATTTTTATCCGCTTTTCAGAATATTATCTGAAATAGTTTGGTAATTGATTTCTCGTTTTACTTCCAGGCGGCTCCTGTGATCAATGGACTGCCACCCACTCCTCAAGTGCATGTGAGTTCGCAAGCGTTAAATTCCTAATATTTCCTATTTGATATCATTTCGTTGTTGTAGTTGCCAGATATCGCATTCAACACATTTCTATTTTCTAAATTTGATTGATTTGTGGACAAATCTGGAAAAATTTAGGACAGTCAAAATTTCAGTTATTAAGGAATAAAAAGTCATACAGCAAAATTTTTTGACATATTGCTAAAATATATATATATATACTATATATAATATATATACAGTAATTAAAAAGTACCCATTGCAATCATTTAACAAAGAAAATGACTCAATAGGCCGGTAACTTGTGCACAAAATTTCTATGTTTTTGTTAGCCATGCTATTTATTATGTCATTGCAACTGTGTCCACTTCCAATATGACTTTGTAAAAATAGTCATTTTATGTAAAAATGAATTATTGTCTGGCACAGGGTTGGCGTATCCAAAAAAAAATCATAGGTGTCATCTGATATTGATATCTTTCATGATTTATCAATTTCTTATTTTTTCATTTGTTTATAACTAAACATAAAAGCACTGTAATGACACGTGCTTAGATTAAATTAGGTATTTTGTCTCAAATCATACTTTAATTCATTAGATTCAATTTCAATCAGGATATAATCACTCTCTGATCTCTCAAAACTGTTTAAATGACTGTAGTGGTTATTTGAATAGGTCACTTCCTCAGGAAATATATACTTTTCTCATGTGTGACAACCATATCCAATTGTATGGCATTTATACAATGATATAACGGATTTTCCCTATGTTCTAGTGTAACTTTTTTCTCATAAATAAGTCTACGGGTTTCTGATAAATAATCTAGTCTATGATTTGATTTTTAGAGCATCTACACAAATTCTGTACTTCCAAATCAAGGTTCACTGTGAAGACATGTTCTTTTAAATGATTGCGATTGTAATCACATTACATTTTTGTTAATAGTATATTATGGTCTGATGCCCAATCACTCAATGATAAACCTTTTATTAATGATTTTAAAACATAGTCTTATTTTCAGATGGGAGCTTGCTTCACGAAAGTATTCAACGGTTGCCCTTTGAAGATAAACTGTGCATCTAGCTGGGTACGTTGGTTTTAATCTGCTACTTTCATTTATGAAAAAAACTCTGAAGCTTGAACTTATTTGTTTTTGACCAAATTTTTTGTTAATCATTACCCTTATCAATCATCAACTATAGAATCTTCACTGAGAATTGTGCATAGTCAGGGCATTTAGTAATTCAATGCTTTGTGTTTCTTAGGGTTAGAATTTTCTTATAATCAAACTTTGGGCATTATTTGGTACTTTTGTAGTATGTGTACCAGGTTAGGTTTAGGCCATAAATTTATTCCGATTTTCCTCATTTAAGTTTTATTACAAGTTCGGGGACTGTCTGTTTTATCCAAGTGAATATACCCCCTGCCCATAAGTTTCAGTCCCTTTAAACTACTTGATGTGCCCTGCCCATAGGTTTCAGTCCCTTTACCCTACTTGATGTAAAGTAGGCGAACAAAATTAGTTACCTTCATATTGGTACATACACTTCTGGAACGCCGTTATTTTTTCCATTTAATTTCTCAATATATTAAATATAGAATTCAAATTAAACAAAGATAGTAGTTCTTCATCTATGATTCCCCCGAAATTTTTAATTCAATATTTTGTTTTTGCTCTCAGGTTCACCCAGACACTCACGACCAATATATATTATTCGGAGCTGATGAAGGAATATATACTTTAAATCTACATGAGTTACATGAAAACACAATGGAACAGTTGTTTCCTAGAAGATGCACTTGGCTGTACGTTATCAATGATGTGCTAATGTCTATATCAGGTATGTTTTCTGAGAATTTTATGTTTGCCAACTTTCCTCTCTTGGGATGGTACTCCTGTAGTATGTGTACCAGGTTAAGGTTAGGCCATAATTTTATTCCAATTTTCCCTATTTTAGTTCTTTTACGAGTTCGGGGACTGTCTGTGTTAGCCAAGTGAATATACCCCCTGCCCATAAGTTTCAGTCCCTTTACACAACCCCCATAAGTTTCAGTCCCTTTACACAACTTGATGTAAAGTAGGCGAATAAAATTAGTTACCTCTATATTGGTACACATACTTTTGGAGCGCTTTTGGGATAAATATAGAAATAATATATACAGGGAGTCCTCGGGTTACGACGGTCGCGACTTACGCTGTTTCGAGGTTACGAACGCGCACTCCATAAGGCTGTTTCGAGGTTACAAACGCACTCCATAAAAAATATAAAATACTGTACTGTACAGTATTTGCTTTTATTCGTGCGATATGGAATTGTTCTCTGTTTTTTTAATAAAGTATATTTTTTGTATTGTTTGTACATTTGATTACATTACCATACATTACAAAACAGTACGATGTGTATAGAGTAGGTAATTTATGTACTGTACAGTATAATGTTCCGACTTGCACTGAAATTCAGGTTACACCGCGTCTCGAGAACGGAACAACGTCGTAAGTCGAGGACTCCCTGTAATATGGTTGGACGGGTAACAATAGCCAGCTCATTTTTGTAACTCGATAAATATCACTTGAAATTTAAAGGGACTTAAAAAATAAGTTGAAAGAAGCACATTTTATTTCTTCAGACCAGTATTCGTATAAATATATTAAATCGACTGTATAGGTGAAGCAGTATGGCACATCAGGCTAAGCGTTAGGAATACGCTCGCCACCGCAAACCTGATTACCCTGCATGGGTTCGCAAGTTTGAATTCTGTGGGAGATAGTTATATGCGAGGGAATTACTGGGATCCTCGTCTCCATCAAGTTCATTCATCTGAAACAAATAACTGGCTATCTTATCTACGCCCATCCCCGATATGGACTGGTAACGGGACAGTTCGCTTTATGATTGGGCTGTTTTATCAACTCTCCCTCAGGAAATATGTAAACCTTATCTTAATCATCCTGGCCAACATAGACTGGTAACCGGACGAGGTAAGCCGTATTAGTGACTTTTCTCTCCCCCAGGATAAATATTTGAATACCATCTTAATCATCATGGTACACTAATCCCACACCCTCCATGGACTGGTAACCGGATGAGAGACCGCAGTTCGCCAAATGATTAGGCCGTCGTATATGAAAATCATATATTATCTTATATGAAAATCCTATTTTTTATTTGACTTTCAATTTTCTCACTGAACTTCTTTTTTTTCATAGGAAATCGTACATCACAGTTATACTCTCACAACTTAGTAGGACTTCATGATCATGCCCAAAGGAATCAGCGACTTCATTTAAACACTCATATGTTACCGGAGAGAATAATTCCAAGGTGAATTTCAATAACCTTCTCGATTTTTATACATCTGATTTGAAATTTTAATCTAATGTTGGATCATTATTCTGATCTTGGCTGTGATTCAGATATTCCAATTATACAACGTTCTTTATACTTTATATTCGGTTCTTCCGTAGTATGTGTACCCGGTTAGGTTTGTGTTAGCCAAGTGAATATACCCCCTGTCTATAGGTTTCAGTCTCTTTATACAACTTCTAGAGCGCCCTTTTCTGATCAAATCAGTACCAGTAGTCTAGTAATGTTCATTAACACCAATTTTATTTAAAAACTTTTTATTGAAGTCATAAGAAATCATTTCTGGAACATTTGGATTATTCAAATTAATTTTTAAATATAGGGTGTCCATGAAGTCTTAAAATTTTTCAAAATTACAAAGGAATTTATTGATACCATATATCGTTTTGTCCCTCACATATGAATTAAATGAGGTAAAAACACTTGAAAAATCACTGATTAAAAAACAACAAACCTGATTAAGATAAGTTGAGAACTGACTTCATAACAAAATTGAAATTGTAAAGAGACGTTATGCACAAACTGTACATCTTATTTTGGTCATTTCTGCCTGTTATCTGTCAATTTAATAATCTTAACATTAAATTAATTTTGTTTTGAAGGAGGTTCACAGTTTCTGTCAAAGTTCCCGACACAAAGGGTTGTCAACGATGTTCTGTTGTTCGTAATCAATATAATGGTCATAAATACTTGTGTGCTGCTTTGCAAGCTAGTATTGTGTTGCTACAATGGTATGAACCGATGCAAAAGTTTCTTCTTATTAAGGTATTATTACTTTACATTGATTTTTTTATTATTTTATGCGCAGAAAATGCTGTTTTGTGATGTTTTTTTGCAATACTTCCTGTCCATAATGTGCAGATAAATGGAACCTTAAGTTCATACTATTTATCAGCATGATGTTTTAAGCTTAAGAAATCTGAAATTTTCATTTTTTAATGACATTAAATTTATAAAAAAAAAGCATTTTGAAAGATTTTATGATTTTCTAACCAATTTGATAAACTTCGCTCTGAAAATATGATTCTTGTGTACAATGCATCTGTTTATTTTTGAGAAACTCAATTGTTTTATTAATTCATTTTAAACTCCCCATGGTTCAAAAAATCATCGCCCAAAGGACAGTTGTGTTGGGCAAGTTTTCGAAAGCCCGAATTAGAAATGTAAATAAATGGAATGTAAAATTACCACATGAGCATATAACTTGTAGATATATAATATATTATAATGAAAAGCTCGATGAGATACGCCTTAATTCGACTTTGAGCATGTGAGCCAGGGGGTGATTTTGCCGATTGGAACCCCTTTTTTGAAATAAAAAGCATTTTTCTGTATCAGAAATAGCAATTTTTTGTAGCTTGAAACGCTTTTTGGACTCAAAACTCCAGAAAACCCACGATTTCCGGCCTCCGGTAACCAACTAGCTGTTACAGTCTATCTTAGCAATTAGAAATTTTAGAATCCCCTCCCCCCCTTTGAATATTCCTGGCTTGTGAGCATTGTGATAATATATGAATTCAAGTGAAAATCACTATGATATTATCTCTATTGGGGGTTTAATATAGAGACCTATTTGAGGATTCGATATGTGGTAACCATACTATAAGTCACCATCAACTTTATTGCTTATATAAAAAAGTTATCAAACTGAGAAAGCACTATATCAGGGTGGTCCAACCCCAGGCCCGCGGGCCACATGTGGCCCGTCGTTTCATTATCTGTGGCCCGCGTCTCATTCAGAGAGGAATTTAAAAAAATCGCATTTTGTATTGTTACGTCATAAAATTAACCAAAAAACTTTCGACATATTGTCGCATCACTATTGTCACTGAATTGACTAGTGTTATGGCTTGCTGAGGCAACTAGCGAAGTTAAACGAGCGAAGTTCTTGACACTATTGTGGCCCGCAGAGCTGCCAATCTTGGACCACTCTGTTCTATATCACTGATTTGCACTAAATAAATAAAGTCTTTCTTTTTTTCTCAGCAATTTGAATTCCCACTTCCGCATCCGTTACGTGTATTTGAACTTCTTGTGACCCCAGATGCTGAATACCCTCTCGTATGTTTTGGTGTTAGTTTGACAAATCCAGCCAACTCAAGTGCAGGTGAATAATAATTCCAGATTTTCTGTTTCAGTTCAGTTGTAAAGTCTAGTTTTGTCTTTGAAACTAAATCTGTGAGATTTCAATCCCATGCAACATGATTATGCCTGTCTTACCAGTAGGCTGCATTATATCACAGTGATAATTTTGGCTATAATTACAATTATGTTTCGTATGCTGGGTGCAAAACTAATTGCACTTTACGAGAAAACTCCTCATTCTTCCTAGTTTCATCGCTTGATAAGGTTATTTCACAGAGTATTTTCACTTTGTCCACTTTGCATGAATTGTCTGAACATATTGGGACTTGGAATTTATTAATCAAAGTAACACTATAAATACCACTGGAATGATATACAGGGGGGCCCATGAGTGCTAAAGGCCCTCGGGAAAGAGTTATGAATAGTTGGGAACCACTGTTATAGGGCATTTTTAAATAAATTTGTATGAAATGCATGTAGGCTCGCGTTTCATGAATATGTATACTGTGTGTAATTTAAGACTTTGATAAATATTGAGTAGAGACAATAACCCTGACACTGACTTGCACTAATTGTATTAATTTCTTCTGCAGCAAACGACATATCTTCCATGATCACACCATCGTCCTTGTTTCATTTAAACACTGTCAATTTAAACTCACAATCATCGTGGTTCTCTGATCAACCTCCTGCCGGTTCAATTAATCTCGGTGTCGTAAATGTGACACAATTGGAGAAGGATACAGTCCTTATTTGTTTGGAAAGTAAGTAAACAATTTTTGTTTCAGAAAGTTCTCACTCAAATCAGGTCAAGAACCAATCCCTTGGAGTCTGCTGTGAAAATTCACAATTGATTCTTGGCTCAGTGTTGAGAAAAATTTACACTCATTATTTTAAATTGAATGTATATGTACCAAAATCGAGATAACTGATTTTGTTCGCCTATTCTACATCAAGTTGTGTAAAGAGACTGAAACCTATAGTATATTCACTTGGCTAAAACAGACGGTGCAAGAACTCGTAATAGAACTGAAATTTAAAAAATTGGATTAAAATTATGGCCTAATTCTAACCTGGTACACACACTACTGGAGTACCCAAAAGCATTGGCGTTTACCTGCCTCCTTTATTTTTTTTGCTGTTGTTCGGGGACTGTCTGTGTTAATCAAGTGAATATAACCCCTGCCCATAGATAGGCTTACGTCCCTTTACACAACTTGATGTAAAGTTGGCAAACAAAATTAGTTACCTCTATATTGGTACACATACTTCTGGAGCGCCCAAGATTTTGGATGTTGTAAATAGGGGCTTCAAACCAATGAAAAGTGAATATGGAATCCCTATTATGACGTATACCACTTCCTCTTGTTCTGTTACCATTCCATGTCTTGTATAGGTATAGATAGGCAAGTATTCATATCAAGGCATAGACCTAATGGTAGAGGAAGTAAGGTGGAAATCCTCCCACACATCCTTACAACCAATAGAATTCAAACCTGCAAACACATGCAGGGTAATCAGAGGTGCAATGGCATAATGCTCAGCTTGGTACGCCATATCTGAAAATTACATTTTGATTCAAACTGAATCATTTTTTTTTCTTCAGAGGATGTAAAAATCATTAGTATGGCTGGTCGACTGAAATCAAGTAAGAAGCTTGCTTCAGAATTGAAGTTTGATTTTGCAACAAAGAATATTGGTGAGTATCTATTGCCATCTCTTTTGCAAAAATCTCCAGGAGTAAATTATGAGCTGAATAGTTAGATATTGAAGGCAGGGATGTCCAAAACCAATCGAATATTTGAATACATTCAAAATCCTTTATATTCAATATAGTAAATGTTTGAATCTAGAGGTAATTTTGAGCTGTCAGACAAGTTCAAAGTGTGCGATATCTCAACTGGTAAGAAACAACACTAAGAAAACGATGACTTTTTATAAACATATGTTGTTTCAAATGTAATCAACATGAACATATATCGGTTTATGTTTATTATTATTTGTGTGATTTATTGATATTGACGCCGCAGCCATATTTCAAAACTTGCCAGGGTCGTAAGCAAAGTCAGAATTCTTCTGGGAGTACAAATTTCAAATTTTCAATGTTACCAATCAAAATTGTGACAGAAAGTCAAAAAGCATATAGTTTTTTATCATTTTCAACAGACCATATATGAAAGCCTTGCCTGCACCAAAGTTGCTGTTCTTTTGAGCAGGGTATTGAACTGCCTAAATCTTTACTTTTTATCTTTATATAGTTTGTCTGCAAGACAGTGTGCTAGCTTTCCATGAGCATGGTATGCAAGGAAGAAGTTTTCGTAATAATGATGTCACGCAGGAGATTTGTGATAGAAGTAGAATATTCAGGCTGCTGAGTTGCTACAGGTTAGAATTGAATTCTTTTTACTTTATCTTTTGTTTGGTTGTTTGGAAAATGCCATTAGAATAATGGATAAGCCTTTTGAACATTAAAATTATTATTGGGGTTCACTCCATTTGAGTCCTTGTGTCCAATGAAAGTAAACACAGGTTGTATACAAGGAAGCTTTAAATTCTAAAATCTAAGTCTAATGGGGGTTTTAGCACTCCTGTTCTATTACAAATTTAAGGATCCGAATAAACAGGCATACTTGCCGGATTTTCTGGTTCATCTTTAAGTTGTTGAATTAAATTGATTGTGTGGATGGTTTAGAGTTGTTACTTATCGATCTTAAGATCAGTAAGTATGTTGATAGGTATTTGTCTGTCTGTTTGGTTGTTTGTCTGTTAGATGAACGCGATATCTCACGAAGGCGAGGTTGAATCTGCTTCAAATTTTGCATGTGCATTCATCATATCTCGGATCAGGAGCCTACTGATATTGGATGAATTATGTCATATAATTAGCGAGTTATTAATTAATTAGTGATGGGACATGTGTTGTCACTATAAAGTCATGAATCGAAACCGCAGTTTCATTCGATAAGTCTTCAATCTCCGACCGATATTCTCGTTTTTATTTAAATTGCTTGTTATGGTCATTTCTGTGAACTGTTTGTAATTTCTCTGATGTCAACATCTATAGTAGGATCTAAGGATGTCCCTTTAACTCCCTAATAAGCTCTCCTCGGGACTTTGCTTTCAGCAACTCAAAGCAAAGGTGCGTCTTCGATATGTTTACCCCAAATTTTTTTCTGCTACAGTTTGTGGGGAATATTTCATTTTGCAGAATAATTTGTAATTGGTTTTTTGCTTTTGTTTTTTATTCCAGAGTAATCGTGTTGGAAAGCAAGCCTACAGACAATCCTAAAGATTTGTCAAATTTATATATTTTGGCCGGACACGAAAGTACAGGAAGTGGGGCTAACTGAGGTGTGAAACCTAGGATTCAGTATTTGAGCCCAGGTTCAGGAAACACGTGGATGCCGCTCGCCAGCTTTTGGTCAATGCTGCGGTACCATGTTATATCTCATTCAAAAGTTGTAGTCAGGGCATGTCGTGTCTTTTTACCAAACAGTATAGAGAGTTTTCACAACATCGCTACAGTAAATTTATTCCCTTTTTTTCCCCTATTTCGCTACAACTAGACTCTGTAAATTTATTCGAAACGAGAGTTAACATACCAAATAATTTTTTTTAAGGTAAATTTCAAAATTTAATTTGAATTCAATTTGAGCTAGACTAGTTGTGACATTTGAAACTCAAATACAAATTAGACTAAAATTGTATGTAAAAACATCTTATTCAGACAATTCAAGCGAACTTTCATGCTGTAAGACTATTTCTGCAGTCAAATGCACAACCAATTTTGTGATTAATTTTTAAGCTTTTTTCTGTTAATCTGCTATTTTTGTGGTATATATATATTTAACGTCTTTCCCGAAACGTATTTATGAAAGCCGGTGACGCTGATCTTGTTCTGACTACTTTTTTGATTTTGTCTATGTGATTGCGCTTATGCGATTTGTTGTTGTTTTTAAATTAATTGTACAATTTTGATCCCAAATTGATATTTATATCATCTGCACATTTGCAATATCACTTCACTTATCGCCGTTGTTAAAAATAATATTCTTTTAAATTTTGTGAATGAAGTTTATTTTAGCGTAAAAACAGAATTATTGGCTTATCACATAATACAAACTAAGAGGGCAAATTGCAACTTGATGCCGTAAAATTTAATTTGGTTGACCGAAGCTTTTTCTGACAATTATTAGAGGAGGTTCCATGTTTTTATATTGTTTAGCTTTACAGAAGGTTGAAAGACAAATTTGGTAATCCTGCAGTGTATGTACCAGGTTAGGGTTAGGCCATAATTTCATTCGTATTTCCCTTATTTTAGTTCTATATGAGTTCGGGGACTGTCTGTGTTAGCCAAGTGAATTTACCCCCTGCCCATAGGTTTCAGTCCCTTTATACAACTTGAACGAAATTAGTTATCTCCATATTGGTACATACACTTCTGGAACGCCCTAAATTTGAGCCGCTATCCCAGATATATGTCCTGTTTTCGCTCTTTTGAATTGATCAGTCTCATTTCATTTCTAGAAAAGTGCAATGAGAGTGAAGTTAAATATTTTTACGTAGGTTTTGAAAACGTTTAAAAGAAATTAAATTTTCCATTTTTTCCTAAAACTTTAAATCTATTGACTGATGTTGTAAAAATTTCCTCTATATTTAAAAATTATTTTGAATATGTTGAAGGTTTGGCATCATAGATTTGGATGCAGATTTTCAATTTTGCTTTTTTAAATAGGGAGTGGTAAAACTATGTATCTTCGGAAATCGGTAGTATTGAACGCGTAACTGGTAAGAAATAAACAACATAGTCCAGCCGTATTGGCTAAGTATTTTTTGTTGCTTCGTGTGCGGGCCAGATCCGTTCTATCCGGCCATTATGCAGTCATTTGTGTCCGTTGAAATTACACTATGACCAAAGGTTTTTTGGGTATAAAATTCTGTTGAAAATATCGATAGAAATGACGTCATAATGACCCCGATTGTTACATTGTGCCTCTTATTATTAAATAAACGTTTGCCTAGCTGTTGTAAATAAACTAGTTCCTAGTTTTTCATATTGAGTTTTGAACCTCCAGCCCAGTAACCAATTCTATTATCGGAAACTGTCCCACTCAGAAAAGTAGTTGCCCACCCCCTGCACTATGGGAAACTGCTGGCAAAATGTTCGAATTAAATTATAGAAATAGTATGCTTTCAATTTTCAAAGCGAAGTTTTTAAAATTTCATAAAGATGCGTTTTTTAGTTCCACAAAAATCTCTTTTGTCATTCAAGTTTTTCTCGAATTCACTTTGTTTATTTGCCTCCTTCCATGCTTAAATCAGTCGGTTTTTATTTGTTTAATTAAAATTCAATATAACCAGAAATTATAACATTTGTATTGCTATATGCGGACTGTTGTAGCAAAATATTTGGATATTTAATGATTTCCTAATGTATATGCTATCTTGTTAGGCGGCTAAAATTTTCCTTCAGAATTGAGTCATGCGTAGGGCTGTGGTCGCACCCAAACGCAGAGTCATTCAAAACAAAAAACTAGACTCCCATTGACAAAAATTTTTACTCTTAATCGATTCTCAGCTTCAGTTTCTATACGGGCAACGTTTTGCTAACACTGGTTGTGTTGTATATATCCTCGTAAATCTTCGGTGTATATAACGTAAATATACGTCGTTCCAATCATGCGCTCTCTTTTTGTTTGAAATTTTCTCCTCGCATATCACCATAACAACTAGAAATTCCATTCCTCATAGAATTCAAAGTTTCAAATTTTGGGGTTGAAAATATGACTCCATATCTGACTTCAATTTCAATTAAAACTTGCTCAAATCCGACTCGAGATTTCGACACCACAGCCCTGACCATGTGCCGAAAGCGTAAAATTGTTTGGTTTCTCAAAAGATTCTGTAAATGAGAAAGTTGGAAATTATTGAGCAAAAATTTTCTTCATGTGTGCCATCTTGTGTCCACATGAATACATATTTATTTTATCTGGAACCGTTTTTAAAATACAAAGTATCTTCGTCTGATTACATCTGTACTTTGTGCGTTTATATAGTCTAGGTTTTTTAATATGTTTCACCTATTTTCATGTGTTTCTTGCTGCGTTATAGGAAAACTATATTCCTCTGTGATGTACCTTGCTCAAGTTGTTGGGAACAAAGTTTTTAGTGGCTTTCTTTTTATTCTGTTTGTATATAGAGTTACTGCTATTCTTCTTATCATTGCTAATTATTATTGAATTTATATGCGGGAATTTTTGTTTGTGTATTCTATTTTTCAGTTCATATCACAGCTGGACCTATTTTCCAGCAATACGTCTAGATGGACTGAAATTTTTATGCATTCGGCTCTATGGTTGGATAGTTATGATGTTATAATGGTTTACCAGACTAGTTTACTGTTTTAATAGAGATATTCATGTTTTTACTTATAAAATTCCCCAAGGATTTGATGAAAAATGCCCCATTTTTCCCATTTGTTAGCTTATTAGGGTCCATGGTCGAATTTCAAAACAAATGAAGCAGTTACTGATGATTATCCCTTCACGAAGTATGTATAATAAAAGAAAAACATGCCTAAATTGTCATTGAAAGCAATATTATTGTTGCGCAATACCAACTAATTATTGCGTAATTGCGTTGTATTTTGTTTAATTACGTTTAATTAATAAATGAACAATGGAAGTCGTTCGTATTTGAGTTCGTGGTTAGGCTTCAAAGGGAATGTTTTACTAATACGTTTACTATATGTTTCAAGCAACTCTATCGTGCGAAGAAAATTGACACCTGGATGCATAACCTCTAGGTCTCACCACTTTGGTTGACAAAGTTTCGATTAAAAAAAATTGACTATGAAATGACCGGCTTTCCACACATGTCAATAAACCGTAGTATATGTACCAGGGCAAATACGTATTAGGGTTGGGCCATAATTTATTCTGACTGTTTGTGTTAGTCACGTGAATTTACCCCCTACTCAGGGGCGGATCATGCCCCTTTGGTGCCCTAGGCACTGAAGACTTTGATGCTCCCTCATGTGTATTTTAAATTATAAAAGCAATAAACCAGCGTATTATCCATCAATAATAATCACAACCAACAGTAAGTGAAACAACTTTTACGGACATTTTTAGTTTTTTTTAACGATATATTTAACCGATATATCGGTTGAGCTCCAATCCTGAGGAATTTGACCATGAAGATTTATGCGCCCAGTCTTAACGTGAATCGAAATACCAAAGCATACAAGTCACAACTGCAGTTTGAAATTTCACCGGTACCTAGTAGCCTACCTCAGGGTGGTCCAATGTAACGAGAAGGACCGCAAAAACTTTTGAGGAGGTCTCGCGGGCCGCAGTCGGAGAAAATCCAAAAGTGATCGAAATATCGTGAGTTTACTTACAATTCGAGTTTACAGTTCGAATCAGCCTATTTTTATGTTGCATGGGTGAGCCTTCAGTTTTTTTAAATTAGTTACCGAGAATTACTGTTGTATTTCCGCATTTCGCGTTTGGGTTTGTAATGTCACTTCAAATTATATTCGTTCGTGACAGATATCACTTGAAATCAAACTAGACACTGTGTGATGGGCAAGAAAATACGTTTTCTCCTTGTTTTCTTTATGTCACCTTTCTTTTGCCACTCATTTTATTACGAATCATTATATTTGAGTAATTTAAAAACTTGCAGCGTGAGCAGGCGTAGTGTTATCGTCAAATAACAACCAAGTCCGTCAAGTTGGTATTTCGGGACCTAGCTAAAGATAACCTGGATTGCGCGGCGTTAAGTCGGCTCTGCGTTTCATCACTACTGACTGTCACATGGCCCACGCTTGAAAATAGAGGAGTGTTTTTACTAAAATAAAGGAACAAACCCTCTCTTCAAATAAGGAGCTACCCGACGCGAGCTTAAGGTGCGAGTTGAGATGAGAAGCGCGACCCATTTCATCGGTTTGGTCCTGTCTGCACAAGACAATCCATTCTCCTTGTACCGATCACAACTCATTCCCATATTGGCATCGTCTTGACGTTTATAGATACAGCATTGAAATTACGTGACTTCAACAAACATCATTCCGACATTGTGATCAGGAAAAGAATTTGAATCTCGGGATCCCAACCCCAGTTGGAATACATGAAAAAGTTCTGCTATTAGATACAAATATACGCTAAAATTGTTCTGTGGGCCGCATGCAATGTATTCGCATGACAGGGTTTGGCACACCCTGGTCTACCTTATCAAGAAACTCCCGACTTCGCTGAGCACTAGATCGTTGGAATGCGATCGCGGAACCGCCACATCGTGCAAATAGTCCCCATTGGTCTAATAGTTTAAGAAACAGATATTCATTTAAAACAAAAATGCAGCAACAAGGAGAATACTAGGAAGAAAAAACAACAACAATTCAAGAAAACCACTCATAGGCCCATTTCGTGTCCAAGAAATAAGTTTCAGTGTTTACTTTTGATAAAGAATGTTAATATGATACTTGAAGACGAAAAATAAGCGGAAATTTTGAAGTCTAACTCGTAATATTTTAATAAACACCGATAAACTATATAAAATTCTGTTATAAAAATTTCTGTGGTGCCCCTCTTTGCTTGGTGCACTTTCGTTCGTTGACGCAAAACAAAAACTCGGCAACCAAAGTGTTCATAGTTTTTTTTAGTCAAGTTGCGGGAAATGAGATAAAGCATATTTTATGAGTGTGCTTATAAATTTCGAATAAAGTAGCCTACTTTAAAAATGTCATTACCGATCAGCTCTTTGGTCCCAGAAGCTTCTAATGAATAACCATAATAGAATAGGTTTTTACACAATTTATGGAAACTTGTAAGCGAAATACAGCTTTTTTTAGTGGATAATAATACGATTAGTACAATTATTTTTAAGATAATTTTTGAAATCCAATAATCATGTTATACGATGATTACATTAAGATGAATAAATGGATTCAACTTGAGCGCTCGCAATGATTCAGTCCGCTCTTAGTGTGAAAATTATAGCGTATCGTATACAATCATACTGATTTATGTCTGGACTTGTTTACCGATATTTCTCAACTGAAAAATACTTTTAACTGCGACTGTCATTTATGATAGAGCATTGCCAGTTCTTATTTTATGTAAACACGTATTCAGCTCTCTAAATCGCGTACTTATCAACTCATACGGGATAGGAGTTCAAATATTGAAATTGTTAACAGTCAGATTGTTAAATAATCGATAAATAAAACGGAACAAGGGAATTATCACGATTTGCGCCTGACTAAACCAAATATATATCCCATTGTATTTTCATGTTATAGCAGCACAGCATTCTATTCTTCACTAATGTGAAGCTAAAGACAGACCTGTGATACAATATATGTACCTACATTTTATTGTCTGTGTACATGACGTTATGGAAATCAAGCATTAAATTTAATGAACTGGTTCGAATGTAAGCACTTGTTTGGCCAGAACTGCTATTTTGTCGTCCCTCCCGCAGTATGTGTACCAGGTTAGAGTTCATGCCCATAGGTTTCAGTTTCAGTCCCTATACACAAATTGAGGTCAAATAGGGAAACAAAATTAGTTACCTTCATATTGGTACACATACTGGAGCGCCATTTTGTCGGCCCAAAATAGTTCGCGACGTTGCTCTTATCACATATATCACGAGCATCCATACGATTTTGAGCAGCAATAGTAATATACGGTGCTTTTTTTATAGCAACAAGAGGTAGAACTGATGAAGTCGAGGTTGCTGCGGCAATTAGTTGCGAAATATTTTTATTCTTTGTCTGATAACCGGCAGAGTGCCAGTTGATAAGACAAAAGACGGAAATTTAGTAAAGTTGCCAAAATTTCAAATAAAATTCAAATGTTTCTTAGCCATACCCTCCGCGCGTGTAAGTGGAACATTAAAAATAAACATTACAAAAATGTTGGATAATGTCCGACAACTTGGTCCCGTATAATTAATTAGTAATTACACGAATAAGCAGCATTGCAAAAACAGCTCGGCGACAATCGATTGATTTCTCGCCAGTGCGGCGGTTGGGCAAGATTTGCCACAACAAAATGTTTGTTTAACGTGCGCGCTGGTAGATACCAAATCTCTGAACGACATGCAGGGATTTCAAATTAGGAAGTTAACAAATATCGGGGATTGTTTAATGTATTATCACAAATACTCATAATTGAAATGTTATCTTTTTATTAAAATATGTTTTTGTAAAATTGAGTCGTCATGCTTCGTTTGCCGAAATTTTGATCGGCATCGAATATTCTCGACTTGATTGATTGATTCTAGTATTATTTGCTTAGTCATCACTAAAGTGATACGTATATATATGAATAAACTTTAACGCGACTCGCGAGATACCATAAGCAGCTTATACGAAAGACGTCCGGGACTCGTTGAACGATACGAGTTATTTACATTATATTTTGCACTTATTTCTGTACCTACAAAATGAAGATTTCAAAGATAATTTTGAGGAAGCAATTTGATGGATTCCCAAAGGAATCCGATTTCGAGCTAGTTGAAGAAGATCTTGGAGACGATCTCAAAGATGACGGTGAGATTTGTCTGGATATACTATTCATGCGTTCCATTATTGCGATTCGTCTAGTCTAGTCGGACGCACGTGCGTCGTGATACTCAATTGTCAATGTATGTATAATTGCCTGATTGCCGCGGGTTATGCCGCATTCGGCGGCCTTGCAAGTTCTTACTTCGCGTCAACGCCGTTTTGAATAATGTTTTTTGTTGCTATCGAGGATGTACGTAGCTCAGTGCAGCAGTATGTATGTATGTGTGTTTATTCGTCTCGTAAAAGCAATATAAAAGAGTTAGTAATTATCAACATTGAAGACTGGATGTATACACAAGACCATTCTGGCCTAAAACACATGAAAGTGCGGCATACACCTATGATAAGCAAAAAATGAAATAAATCAAATAAGTACCGGTAGTAGCTTTAAATGATTTCGTTTCGCTGTCGTGTTATAAATAAGCCTTAACATTCTGACATTGTATTATCTGAATATGAAAGTTGATTATATTAAAACTATATGCCTATTGCCTAATACTGTAATATAGCTAGTATTGTGTTTAAACAATGATAGCATGTATATTGCAGTCTTTGTTACAGCTTTATGGAATAACAGTAATGCCCAAAAGATCAGAATTAGCACTGAAGCACCAAACATACTGCGAGTGGAAGTGATGACTCCTCTACGGCTCATGGGCCGGGGCCATGGCCCATCGAATTGGGCCTCGGCTCATCAGGCTATGGGCCGCGGCCCATCAAGTTGTGCAAAAGGGACTATAATGTGAAAAATCTGAACAAAATTTTGTCCTAACCCTAACCTGGTACACATACTAAATGAGTATCCTTTTCTGTAGCTTGGTATTTTGCTTTATTTTCATTAAAAGGCTTATCATAAGAAAAAAATTTGGTGGCATCCTGCGATTTTTTTTTGGTTCGAATATTGATAATTTTGTAAAAATTGCAAGTTTTGATAAGATAATTGAATTTTTTCTGATAGGGCCCAATTAGATGGGTCGTGGCCCCATCCCATGGGCCGTAGAGGAGTCACCACCCCTGTAGCATACTGCTGCACTGGCATATAGCAAAACAAAGATCAACCTTTTAAACAGTGGATCCATTCAAGCATTGAGATTATGCGAACTGCCGCAGTTTATGTTTTTTGTCTATTAATCCCTGAAACTAGATCAGTAGATAGGGATGGGAGACCGCTGACTTATCGATCTTGCGGTTTCAATTCCCTTGCTCTGACTCAATAGCGATACCTCATGTCCCATCACTAATTAATTAATAACTCGCTAATTATTCATGACATAATTCATCCAAAATCAATAGGCTTCTGGTCCGACATACGATGAATGCACATGCAAAATTTGGAGCAGATTCAACCAACGATTTGTGTGATATCGCGTAACATGCAAATACCTATCAACATACTTACGGTACCGATCAAGATTGATAAGTAAAAAGACCTGTGAAAGTGTTTTGAATTTTGTTTAGTAGACTTATGCATTCTTTGTTTTTATTTTTCAGAATTCTTTTTTGAAGCTTTGTACATCAGTTGCGATCCATACATTAGGTAATTTAATAAGCAATATTTTGAAAGTGAAATACTTCACACTTGATTATTATTACACACAATTTGTCCTGTTTATTTGGAGACCAGTTTTCCATACAGCCATAAGTTTGCAGTAAGAATGATCATAACTTTCTGACGTTAAGTGCTACAAGATATTTGCACCTCTTAATTTTTCAGTTCAATATCACGTGACTAATTTTTTCAAGATATTTATTTTGCTTTGATTTTTTACATGTTTTTACTCTAATAAAATTATGGAATTTTTTGTTTAGGATACTTGCACCTTCCTACAAAGAAGGAGAAACTGTCATCCCGGGTTACCAGCTTTCAAGGTATTGTTTCTTTCAAGCAAAACCTCGTATTTATTTCCGTACGGTATAGGTATCTTACAAATTAGTCAACAAAAGCTCGGTGCGGCGGTGTGGCTCAACGGGCTAAGCGTTAGGAATACGCTCGCCACCGCACCTCTGATTACTCTGCGTGGGTTCGCAGGTTCGAATCCCATGAAGGGATGGTTATGTGCGAGAGGATTGCTGGACTCCTCGCCGTCGTTGGGTGGTTCACGTAACCGCTGGTAGGTTACGGCTTCCTCCACCACCAAGTTCATGCTTCCGAAAACAAACAATAGAGTAAAAACTAATCCCATACCCGACTTGGAATGGTAACCGGACGAGAGGCCGTGGTTCGCCATATGGATAAGCCGTCTTATCGGCTTTCCTCTCCCCCGGGATAAATATGTAAATCCTATCCTAAGCTATCTAGTAAAATTTTATGTTTGTATGTTTTATCATATATATTTCTGGCATTACTATTTCTTTGAGATAAAAGATATCCTAAAGTCCATTGTCTTATGTTGTGCTCACCAAAGCACAGAGGTACACAAATTGTTGTGACCATGTTGGCTTCACATATCCCTGGTTCAAGCTTTTATACCTAAGATGTAAGATATAAAGAAGTAGTCAGTATTAAAATTGTTCGGACTTTTTCACGTCCCTGCTTTAACAGAGTATCATTGAAGTAAAGATATAATTTTAGCTTAAATCTGAATTAATTTAAAAAAAGTGAAAAATGTTAAAATCTCTTTTTAATGTGAATGAACTTTTTTAAACTTGAAACTTCAACAGGGTCACAAAAAGTAATAACTCAAAGTATCCAGTCGGCTCAATATTGGTAACTGGGGCAGGTTGGAGAACGGGTGGAAAGTCTAGCGGAGTTGGACCTGAAGGAGTTTGGTACGAACGAAATGATTTGCCAAAAAATGTGCCCCAATCAGCTGGGGTTGGAATATTTGCTATGACTGGGTGAGATAGATTTTTTTTAAATAGAATTCTGCAGTTGTGAAGATAGACCATAATTATCTGTACACGGATCTCAAAAATGAATTTAGTGTAAATTAAAAAATAAATTTCAGGGTTCCATTACATTTGAACACGTACATTTGAACCCATGACAATTGCACCTGTATGCTATTGCACCTATGGAATTTTATTTGTTTCACAGATAGTTAAACCCATACTAACCCTAACCCATGGGTTTTAGCACCCGCATATAGATTGAACCCGTGGATATACGCATGGGTTCAAATGTACATGGGTTCAAATGTACGGTCACCAAATTTCAGATCGATTTTAAACAATTGAATGTAAATTTTTGGATAAAATGATAATTTACATTGTACATAGTTTATCATATATCAAGAAGCATACTATTTGATGAATTCTTAGTTAGTCAGCAACTGGCTGAAACCTGTGTTTTATTGATTTTATATAAAATGGCCAGTTTGTGAAGACGTAGTAATAGTCAGTTAATACCGCAGAAACCTAATTTATATCACATTATTGAGTAAAGATAAAATGTTCAACTAGACGCAAATGAAATCCAAAACTTGGAATGTTTATATGTTTACTTGCTATCTTTTTATATTATTTTCTTAATATTATTTCACTTCCAGGCTAACAGCCTGCTATGGTGTAGAATACGTTCTCAAACCAAAGAAAGGTGAAACTCTCTTTGTTAGTGCGTCTGCAGGGGCTGTTGGAAATATTGCAGGCCAGATTGGGAAGATTTTGGTAAGAGATTTTCATATTTATCCCGAGAGAGGAAGGGCTTTAAGACAACCTGTGCAATGGTATACCACATCCTCTCATCTAGGCAGGCATTTACCGTATGTCAGATGCATGGACTTGATGGTGGAGGAAGCCTTAACCTACCAATGGTTACATGAAGGAGTCCAGTAATCCTCTTGCACCTAACCGTTCCTCTCAGAATTAAAACCCTTGCTGGGTAATCAGAGGTGCGATGGCGAGCGTATTCCTGATGCCTGGTAGGGCACACAATACTGCCCTATAATAGTTGATATTTAAAATTGGGAAGGTAATGTTGAACCAGCGCATCCTTAGATATGGTTCCTTAGAGGCTTAGATGTCCATAACCGTTTGTACAGGTCCTTGTGAGAGATAGTTTATATGTTAAAGAGTTGCAGTGTTTGCAGAGCATTACTTGAAACTTGGGTTGGGAAGTATGCGGCATTATTCATGATTTAGGTTCATACATTGCTCATTGATCCCCTGTAAGACTTTCTCACCCTCTAATTAACTTATTGACCACTCTCTTGCTTTCCATACAATCATGATATAATTTAACTGCTTTAAAAAAATTCGTTCTCTTTTGTTTTTCCATGTAATTCTCATATATTCCATTTGATTCTAGGGTTGTCGTGTGGTTGGGTCTTGTGGTTCTGATGAAAAGATCAAGTATGTCAAGTCGATTGGATTTGATGATGCTTTCAATTACAAAACAGAATCTGTCGAAGAAGGATTGAAAAGAGTTGCACCGGAAGGAGTTGATTTGTATTTTGACAATGTATGTTCATTTATATTGTATCACAAAACAAATTGTGCTATTTCTAAATTGGTTTATTAGTTTTTGAGTTTTGTTTTTGTTGAGCAGCCCAGTCAACAGCTCAGTCAAAGTGTTAGGCTTAAGTCTGTTGGCTCGCAGGTTTAATACCTCGCGTTAAATGACCACCGAACAAATTCCTAAGATAGTTAATTTATTTTTAAGTTTTATTTTTGCTGAGCACGGTGGCCTCGCAGTTAAAGTATTAATGTCGACTCTGTTTACTCGCAAGTTTCGTATATCTCGTTCAAATCCCATGATCACCATCTCGCTCACTCAGAGTGCTATAAATTGTTAAGCTCTGCTGCACTGGAAAGATTTCTGTTGTTTCAAAAATAAAGGCAACTAAAAATATCATTAGATAACGAGGCCTTGTTCGTAACAAAAGCGTGAATTAGTGTTCTATTTAAAAACAATATAATTAGTAATATGGATTTATGATTCATTTTTTTTCCTGGAATACAAACAGAATTCCTATCCTAAATATTGATGTTTTGCTCTCTTGTCTAGGTTGGTGGTGACTTTGCAAGTGCAGTCTTGAAACAAATGAATAGAAAAGGAAGAATAGCAGTATGTGGAATGTTATCTTCATACAATGAAAAAGAACCAAGAGGTAATTGGACGATACAATCAAATAGAAAGTTATGTACACTTGAATGCAACATGACTTAAATGTTATAATCGCATAATTTTAAACTAATTGCCAAATTATACTGTATGTAAGTATACAAATTTCTGGTTCTTACTATGCGTCTTTTGGTAGTTGTATCTTACATAACCTGCCTTGATATCTCAATGGTAAATTGTGTGGATATTTAAATTTTGGGACCTTCTGAAGTATGTGCACCAAGATGGCGCACAACCTGAACATAGTATGTGTACCATGTGTTAGGGTTCAGGTTATGCGACATCTTGGTGCACATACTTCAGGAGCACCAAATTTTGGAGTATTTTTTAAAATTCCTCTGTAAATATATCATGTATAATATCTGATCATCATTTATTGAATTTTTCTGATTTTCCAGCTCACGTTATACAACAAACTATGTTCATGAAGTCTTTGCTAATGCAGGGATTCAACATATTTGCTGATATTCCTCCATATAATGAAGAAATTTATAAAAAACTGAAAAAGTGGGCTGAAGAGGTAAGGATCAATAGCTATATCCAGCAATTTCACTGTTGCCAGTTATCATAGAGCCGTAGTTCTCGAACGGTGGGGCATGCCTCCACAAGGTTGGGGGGGGGGGGCGGCTAACATAGACAATTATCGAGGGGGCGTGAAGCTATCTTGCCCGTCTTATTTTGGATATTTACTGCATTACTTTATTTGGAATATTTACATTCCATCCACTTATTTCCAACATGTTTAAAACATACTTTCACCTTACTATCTGTTATTCGTAGCGTATTTTTAGCTAGCTATTCACGGCCGTGTTGTGTTTTACCATTAAGTAAAGCTGTTTAGCTCTACTCTTTGCTTATAATTTGAAAATGTCCAAATTTTTTCTAAAGTTATTGGTTTTCTTCAGGGTAAACTCAAACAGTATGAATCGATCAGTGAAGGATTCAAGAATCTGCCATCCACTTTTATTGGAATGCTTTGCGGAAAGAACTTGGGGAAAACAATAGTGAAACTATGAAGTTTACTTAACCAAGGAAATATGTTTTGAGAAATATCATGGCTTTTTCTTTTGGCTTTATCCAATTCATTATTCGATCGCCAAAACTTAATTTTCTTTTTGTTATTTTGTAGCTTCTAGTGAAAAATTGTGATTTTGCATTTTACAATATTGTTCACATTCGTTTGACTATATTTTTTAATCAAAGACTTCCAGGATAAGCGGAGCAAAATGTTAATGATTTTTTAAATGTTCAATATAGCTGATCTATCGCAGTTTTATAAATACTCTGATGAAATATAGGATAGCATTTACATCCGTTCGATTTCAGATAAAATTTGTTTAATTTGTAGCAGAGATGAGCGGATTTTATTCATGGAAGATTTTCTTTATATTAAATACCTCTAGGCCAGGGGTAGGCAACCTACGGCCTGCGGAGTAACATAATCGGGCCCGCGAGGCTTCATTGAATTACAGTAACAAAACAGCTGTTTTACCGATTATATTCTTTACGTAAAAAAAAAATTAATTGTGAGACACGTGTAGACTAAATTATATTATAACCAATTAAGTATATAATTCACAATTACTCGTTTATAATTTAATTATATTTAGACAAACTCAGAAAAGTTAATGCTAAGTACAAAAGGTTCAATGGCGCAGAAAATATTCAAATGGAATTTTTTGAGATCTGATCTGTGTGAAAAAATGTGATTCATCGGCGATCTGTTCGGTTTTTACCTTTCCAAAAACATGCGCCGCCCGCCAATGACTTGCAACCCTAAATTTGGGCCCGCGAGCGACAAAAGGTTGCCGACCTCTACTCTATTCCGCCTTTATCATAAAACCAGGGGCGGATTATGCCCTCTTAAGTGTAATTTAATTATAAAAACAATAAACCACATAAGTGTATTATCCATTAAAAATAATCACAATCAACAGTAAATAAACAACTTCAACGAACATTTTTAGGTTTTTACCTGTTATATGTAGCCGATACAGATATCGGCCGTTTACTGCCGATATGATATGTCGGCAAATACGCAATATCGGTCGAGTTCTAATCCTGAGAGAGTGTGACAATACAGATTCGTGCCTCCAGTCTCAACGTGAATCGAAATACCAAGAGATACAAGTTACAACTGTAGTTTGAAAATTTCACCGGTACCTAGTAGTCTACCTCAGGGCGGTTCAAGGTTGCTAGGTTGGAGGACCGCAAAAACTTTTGAAGAGGTCTCGCTGGCCGCGAGTCGGAGAAAACCCAAAAGTGATCGAAATATCGCGAGTTTACTTACTTTCAATTTATTAAACAACAGAGTTTACTGCTTTAATCAGACTATTATTATGTTGCATGGATGGCGTTCTTTAAAAAAAGATATATAAACCCTCAGTTATTTTAAAATTAATTCCTGAGAAGTACCGTTATATTTTCCGCATCTCGCGTTTAATGTCGCTTCAAATTATATTCTTTCGTGACAGATATTACTTGAAATCAAACCAGACACTGTGTAATAGGCAAGGAAATACGTTTGAAAACCTTTCTTATGACACTCATTTTATTACGAATTGTTATATTTGAGTAATATAAAAACTTGCAGCGTGAGCAAGCTTAGTGCCATCGTCAAATAACAACCAAGTCCGTCTAAGTTGGTATTTCGGGACCTAGCTAAAAAATAACTGGATTGCGCGGCGTTAAGTCGGCTCTGCGTTTCTTCACTACTGTCACATGGCCCACGCTTGAAAACAGAGAAGTGTTTTTACTAAAATAAAGGCACAAAACGTTAGAAAAAAGGGTTTGAATTTTTGGGACCCCAACCCCCAGTTGGAATAGCTGAAAAAAACTCAAAAACGTTCTACTATTAGATACAAATATACGCTTAAATTGTTCTGTGGGCCGCACGGAATGTATCAGCATGACAGGGTTTGGACCACCCTGGTCTACCTTATCAAAAAACTCCCGACTTCGCTGACCACTAGATCGCTGAAATGCGATCGTGAAACCGCCACATAGTGCAAATAGTTCATTGGTCCAATTGTTGAAGGGAAAAGAATTTTTTTTTAAAACAAAAATGCAGCAACAAGAAGAATACTAGGAAGAAAAAACAACAACAATTTAAGAAAACGACTCATAGGCCCATTTCGTGTCAAATAAATAAGTATCAGTGTTTATTTTTTTTTAACAAGAGAAGGTTAATATGATACTTGAAGACGAAAAATAAGCAAACATTTTAAAGTTGGAGTCGTCTGGTGAACTCGTAATATTTCAATAAACTATATATAATTCTGCTCTAAAATTACTGTGGTGCCCCTCTTTGCTTGGTGCCCTGAGCACGTGCTTATATTGTTTATTGGTTAATCCGGCGCTGCATAAAACATACATATATTCATCTCAAGAAGTCTATTATTACCGATATTATCCCAAGACTCTGATGTGCTTTAAATAGGATTTGAATATTTCAGTATATATACAAAGAAAACAGTTGTAACTGCTCAATTATATTAATAATTGCTGATGAGTTGGATAAACGGGCCAAATTAACCAAAAACATATCACGGACGTATCCTATTCACCTGCAGACGATGCTTATAATATTTTGTTTACATAAATTATATTTGAGTGAAGCTTATTGCGTTATGGATACTTTTAATATTAGTGATATTTTAGTTCGTGCGTGTTTGAAACGTCAAGAACTAATTTGCGTTATGTCGAGAAGCTGTGACCGCCCATGTGATAAACCATTGAATCAACTCATTTTCCCCCGCGTTAAACGGGGTCTAAATTGGATGAAAATAGATATTAGGTAAGCTCTTGTTTATCGCACAAAGAAGTTCCCTTAATAAGGAGTTCGCGTGCGAAGGTTTATTTTGGGCTATTGCTTGAATAAACCTTGCATTTCAGGAATTCCATCGATCTTTGTGTTTGCACTTGAAACTAACGACGGGGTACTCGTTGCACGTTTTTTTAAACAGATTGCGTAGACAATTCGTTGAGAACAGAAGAAGTGAATATATATTAGGATTTGAAAAATTTCTGTATTGACAATCATTTATATAAGCATTTAGATATTTATTATTTAAGTTTGTTTATTTCTAAAAAATGTGATGTGATTTTTTGAATCAGGCACTCAGGAAATGAAGACTTAATGAGCGATGTAAAATCGAAAATCATGAATGCGGCAAAATTTAGTAAATTTAACTAAAATTTGAATGTGGATATGGATACTAGGCTGATAAAGTCTGTCCTCACTCATTCCTCAGAAGTGATTTTTCACGATTTCAGATTTACTTAATTATTAGAAATGATTTATTATGATGTAAAATTTTATTTGCTTTGGTGTTAACGATTAAATTAGCATTTTTGACAGGTAAAATTCTTCTAATTTGTGCAAAATAGGAAGGGCTACGAAACTAGGACAATTAACAAACGCTCTTCGCAATAACTATTCGCAATACTAAATTACGCAATACTATTTTCCATCCAGACTAGTTAGGCCCGAAGACTTAGCACAATGCTGTATACATACCGTAAATATAAACATTCTTATTTTTGATATAGATTTTACATAATTTGTCCAATCGTAGCTTTCGCTTTCAGAGTAGTTTATATATTATATATTATTAAATATATTCGGTGACGGAATTTGATCACGAAAAATTTTGTTTGCATCTTTATAGCTCGAAGATAAATCACTGATAACCGTGGCGCGGTGGCCTAGTAGTTAAAGCGCTGTTTTGGCATCGCGGGTTTCCCGTCTCCGGTTCAAATTTCGTGCCCAACGACTCACTCGTGGTGTAATAAAGGTCTTTTATGAATAGTAGCGCGTTACAAATCGTTCGATATCAGTAGCTTCTTTTACATTGTCTTGCTGGGGGTGGAAGGCGTGAATAAGCGCCGTATAAACAGCCATAAATATGCACATGATGCCAGGACTGGGGAGCTTGTTCGAAATCAGTGGGTCCATACCCGTCGAGGTTTTTATTTGTGACCACTACTTCTTTGCTTAAAAGCAGTTTCATGGACTCAAAAATATGACATGAGGGTTTCGAGTTGAAGTTTAAATTAATGTTTTAAATTGAAATGTATAAAAACCTAACAGCTGAAAAAGATAGATTTATTAAGTATTAAAAAATTGAAACGATAAAAATAATTATGTGGTTCGGAGCTGGAGCCAATAAATTTACGGCTTCATTTAACATGGTAAGCTTGGATCCAGCTTCACCAAAACGTTACAGCTCTATGGATCCGAATCCTCATCCCTGCATATCGCCAATTTATAAGAATCCTAGTGTAATACAGTTTGCATATGCGGTCGCTGCATATTCATTCGGTTTGTATACATGCATATATGTTCGCGTGTAACATTAGGGCACCAATTAAAAAAAACGTGAACAAGGTCGCTATGGTTTGACGAAGGTGTTTACTAAATTTTCAATGGCTGTTTATCATTGCTTTTATGATACTGGCTATCTCATGATCGCACAAAGACTGTTTGACCGATTTAAAAAATAATATCAAATGCGAATATCAAAATCAAATACGCTTCCAACGCGAACTCTTTCTCATTGACGAAATCTGCGTGGCAATGCTGATTTACAGATAGTATAATTAAATAGAATCAACGAAATATGTTTTTCTGAATTCGTCCCTTTGAAATGTTTTCGGATCTTTTGTACAAATTATTAATTATCCAGTTATCGTTATAGGAATGCAGATTGCGATGGAAATTCGAATCATTTCTAATCGTAAATTCAACTAGATAATCACAAGTTTGTTATTTTAAAACGTGGCGGGGGAGTTTTCTCAAATCTCGCATTTTTGCATCAGTGGCTGGCAGGGGCTTTATACAAAAGATCCATGATTTCATTCGTAAATCTCGAGTGGCAGTGAGCTCTCAGTCGTTAACTGTCAGTTTACCCTCCAAACAAAGAATTTTATGCCAAGTTTTTTTCACAAAAGCTTGAGTTATGTGGAATTCATTGCGCCAGGGGCGTGTCAAACCTTTCTGCTTCCCTGTGCGAGTTTCTGATACCGATGCCCTCATACTTAACTTCAAAATTATTTGGGAGATAAACGAATTATTATGTGAAATGTTTGTATTATTATCCTTTAAATCAGTGGTCCGCGAAGCATTTCCAGGGGGTCCGCGATTAAATTAAGAGTTTAGAAAACTATTCGCAGTTTAATATCGTTTTTTTTTAATACGCTCGAACATTTGCTGCCTATGACAATGTGACAATAGCTTACAAAAACTATTTTGATTCATCTCCCGTAGACCTATTGTGACAAATACGAGTTATGACATCACAATGATAAATACGAGAACGCAGCTACGCTAC